TTGAGATACCACCTGGGACCCCACATCCCGTATTTGGGCCTAAGTTTGAATCCCAGCTCCATTCCAGTTCTAGTTTCTTGCTGATGCAGAGCTGGGAAGCAGCAATGATGCCTCAAGTGGTTGGGTCCCTAACAAGCATGAGTCAGCATTTCAGTTTCAGCCTGGTCTAATCCACTGGTATTGTGTTCTTCTGTTCTGTAGCACGTTGAGTAACCATATCTACAGCAGTCTGTGAAATATTCCAAAATAACTGGAAAAGTGAAGGTTTCTAACTTGCAGAAATAGTCACTGTTTGAGCAGGAAATGCCTAGTGCCCTAAGTTGAGCCTTACACTTTATATACCTATCTTGAATTATCATATTGTGCCCCCATATTGCATACAAACAGTATGTGCTGATTAAAAAACTATTTTTTAGGACCCAGTGTACCTTCCACATCCCTTTCCCAGATGACCACTGTTAAGATTACTGTCACTGCTGGTTACTTCTGCTTATTTCCATAAGGACAGCCTGTTCTGTTTGCTCAGCTTCTCTCACTCAGCTGGGCTCAGCTGTTAAAGACAAACTTGCTTGCTCCCATAGTTAGTCTTTTACAGTAAATCCAGCAGTCTAGGGGGAGAAATCGGTACTGCCTGTTGGAGCCCTGTGATGGTCACAAGATTCTAGGCTTGGAATTCTTTCCTTTCAATACAGTAACCATACACAGTATTGCATTTAGATTTCCACTGTTGCTGAAGTCAGATTTTGTTCTGTTTCTTTAAAAGTAACCCCTTTCCTAGACTTCTCTGAGGTGTCCTATTAAATTTTGTAGCTTTATCATAATGCTAAGTATAGATTTCTTTATTCTTGCTTGCATTTGGACTTCTGAAATGCATCCATATTTTCGTATCTGATTATCTCTTGTGAAATATCATATTTAACTTGTTTCTAACCCCTTTTATCCTGGCACAAAAATGTGAATGTGTGTGTGTTTAAATCTTTCATCTTTATGCTTCATTCTATAAAGTTCTTCATCTTCCTCTTTCAGGTCCCTATTTTCTATTGTATCTAATCTGTTAAACCTTTGTACTAAAATTTTCAGTTTGGGGGCACTGGTTATTAACTTCTAGAATTTCTAGTTGTCTTTCAAATCTGGCTTTTTGATACATTTTAATCTTTCAACTTCAAGATTTGTTTTTATCCGCTGGAGAATTATTTTACTAACTACTCCCAACAGCTAGAGTTTAGTTGATACTTCTGTTGTCTGTGCTGGTTTTATTATACGTTATTTATTCCTGTGCCTGGATTTTCTGTGTGCTGAACACTCATCTGAAGAATAATTCTTCAGTATTTTATATTTTGTTTGAAAGGAAAGGTTGAGTGGGGAGATGATGAGCAGAAAGGAGAAAAGGTGAGAATTCTTCCATTGCGTCTGCTTTAATCAAAAATGCACAATAGCCAAGACTGGACCAGCCTAAGTCTGGAGTCTGGAACTCAGTCTGATTCTCCCATGTGGTGGCAAAACCCAAGTACTGGGACTGTTACCTGCTGCCTCCCACAGTCTGCATTAGCAGAAAGCAAAACTCCAGCCCAGGCATTTAGTATGATTTGAGGATATTCCAAATGGTGTCTCACCTCAAGTGCCAAGTGCCTACCCTACAAAAATGACTCTTCAAGAAACTTGGTATAAAACAACAGCTTTCAGAGTATCTGCTGGCTTCTGCAAGGACCTCTGACTCACCTACAATTCAAAACGATCTTAATTAAGTTTCAGAACTTGAGACATTCAGGACATTGTCTGACATGAGACTGTAGCCCATTCAAGGACTAATTTTTTTTTCTGCTGGTTCACTATTTTCTGCTAATTCGTACTTCTCTTCAAGGCTAAAATTGGAGGTGTTATATTTCCATCCTAACCCTACTCTGGAACCCTAGAAATTAGTTGTCTTGTTTTAACTTCAATTTCACATACAAATGAAGAGAATTGGAACATCCTCCAAGTGATGCATTAGCAACTATGAAAAAGATGTAGGCTCCTCAAGATTACCTTTACTTGTGCTTTCAACTTTGCAACTTGGACTTAGGAATCTATATCCTACTTCCTCCCACATGAACAGAGAGAAGGTTCTACAGTATTATACATAATGTGTGAAGAAAGAAGACTTCGAGTAGGGTTAGAGTGCTGAGACACAAGAGGTTGTTCATGGATACTCATAGCAAGAGGAAGAAAGGGAGGAAAAGCAAGGCAGAGCTTTTGGGGTACTAGCAAAAGGAATATTAAAAGTAACTCCATAGGAACAACATACCAGTGTGATGGCATGGCAGCCTGTTCTGCTGCACTTTCCTTGTTCGCTTCCCTTTGCCAGTTTCTACTCTTCAGAGTCAGTTCCACTATTTTGGCCAGAGGGGTGTTGGCACCAGCAAGGCTGATCCTGAGGCCCTACTGCTAGCTGCCATGGAAGGCACCTGAGTGTGGATTCGGCAATAGATGGTGGGAGGCTGAGAAGGTTGAGGAATATGGAAACCAAGAGTATGTCCAAGCAGTTTGGAGGAGTAAGGTTTCTGTTTTTGTTTTTGTTTTGGTTTGGTTTTTTGCCCAATACCAGACAGCTGTGGGCTGGCGTATTGGGACCTTGCTGCATTTGGGGAATGGCAGACAGTGAGTCTGTCCTTCCCACCCCTGCACTATATAAAAGGCAAGTCTTGGCAAAGATGCAGTTTCTGGGTTTCCTGCTGGCCTTGCTACAGGCCAACTTCTCAGGAAACACATTTTACCAGGAAGATCCATTACTTTCACTTTCCTGCCTTGGCCCCCATTTTCTGCCCTGTCAACCTGCCTAGGGAGATTGCCTCTCTCCTCTAGTGGCCTGTTGGGTCACATTGGCCTCTGGTTTCCTACTCGTTCCTGCTTTCTATGCACCTGGAGGCCCTATGCACCTGGAGGCAGGGCACATGTATCAGACTATAGAGTCTTGTTAGCAGAAATAACTCCCAGAGACTGAAGTCTAACAGAACCCCTGATCCAGCATGAACTGGAAAGACCAAATTCTGAGTCCCTATGTTGCACTGGCTGATGCTGCAGAGCTGTCCAGAGAACTGTCACTTCTTTGACTTTTGTTACGGTGACACAGGACATTCCATATGAGAACCCCATCCTACAAGTCCTCAGGTGATTATAGTTGAGACTATCAGAGTAAGGTTAACACCACCATTTGGCCTGCATGAGTACCATATTTTTGCAAGGCCAAGTCGAAGGAATTCCATTTTTCCTTTTCTTCCTGATATTCAAATATTTTTGAATGAAATTGTGATCCACTAGATAAAACCTACTTTTAGGAGACGTTGAAAGATCAAAGATTTGCTTATAAAACAAAGGGTTAATCTAGGCATAGATGCTCACATTTCTCCAATTTTTGCCTCAGCAGTATGTTACTAACATGGGTGAGTGAACTTCTTTGTATCACTATTGATGAATGGTTGGATCCCAAGTCAAGACTTGGAGTATATTTATCCTATGGTTTCAACTGACCGCTATTCCGTCTTTCATCATGGCTTGATCATATCCCTGATGTTGTGCCTCCCTTACCCATTAACTATGATAGTAACCTATGTGCCAGGCAATATGGCAGCATATAGAGATGAAAATTGACCTGGAATGATTCTAGGCAAGTAACAATATTGAAAGTCCTTAAGGAAAAGTACAGGTTGCTGTGGAAACATCTCAGGCAGGGTGAACACGACTTAGAGAGGCTGGGCAGAACATTTTGTTGCTTTGCAGTGTAGGTGTCATAAACTTGTCAAAGAAGCAACAGGGTTCTATACATGTAGGGGCACATTACTTGGCAGAAAAAGAACTTGGCATTGTAGTATTTAATGGAAGGAGTGTCAATCTAAATTATTTTTGCTTGAGAAAAATGGGGGTCTTGGCATATGGTGATGTGGGTATTGTCCTAAAGAATAAGCAGCAGTTGCTTGCCTATGGTTCCCTTACTGGGTTGTTGTTTGACTCTTTGATTCTCCAAAGTCTTAAGAAGGTTTTTCTTGTTATCCTAACTTCTCAGAAAAGAAGTTGATCTAAATACTCCAAAGCTTTTCAAGTGCAGTCCTTGGAACTTGCTAGAAATGAAGATTCTCAGATTTCGCTTCAGAATCAAACCCAAGAGTAAGACTTTGCTAATTGTGGCCTCACTAGCCCCTGAGGTATTTGTGGTTGGCTTCAAAGTTTGGAAACCAAGATACTGATGATGATCTTGACAATTTTTGATGGTCACCAGTAAGGACCAAGACAGCTGTCACAACTGGTACTTTGAAGGCATCTTTAGAAAGCCATATGAGGAAAGATAGAGGCCAAGTTTCTGGTAGGGACAAAGTGGAGGTAAATAGATACGAACAAGGGCTGATGTTCTTGAACACGGTCAGCAAACTTTAGCTGCAGAAGATCAGAGAGTAAAACTTTTTGATTTGGACCACAGCATCTCTCAATGGTGCTGTTGTAAAAAGCAGCCATAATCAGTCCGTAAATAAAGCTCAGAGTAAAACTTCATAGGGTAAGGTGACAGGTAAATTTGGCCCTCAGGCAATCATTTATTGACTTCTACTTAGCAAAATGCTTATTTACTATTTTTGTTACCATTTTTTTTAAAGCAGCAGAATTTATTTTTAAGTTGAAGACCCAACAAAGCAGGGACCCCTCTGTTGAAGAATCCAAAAGTTGCCGGTTCAGTTCCCCATTTCTTTGAAGTGGACCCCAGGGTTTTTTGACAGAATGAATTCTACTGCCATTGAAGTTGAGGGTTCTAGTTTCTCGACTTGGGTTCACTCAGGCATTGCTGTTGCACAAATAGGTGATTCTTCCTTAGTTACTCCAAGCTCATAACCAAGGAGTGGGCTGGATAAGGTCACCTCTGTTCCCAACCATGCCGGGAACTTTAAGGTTGGAGAACGTCTCCCTTGTTGCAGCATGATTCCCCTTTCTTGGTAGGTTCCAGGAAGCCTGCTGAGGCGAACACGAACACCTGGAGGATGAGTCACCGACCAGGCACCCCTACCGTCCTCCGCAGCCAGTCAAGGAGTCAGCTCCTTAGAGACTGTAGGGTCTACATCAGTCTGCTGGAAATGCTACTGGAATTACAGCAGTCTGTGCAGGATCACTTCGCGCACCTGAGAACCTTGCAGGAGGAACAGAGTCACACTGAAGCCATCTGCAAGCATGAAGACCAGCTGAACGACCTGATTCGCATGGTGATCAAACTCATGTGGTCTGAGGCTATGAGTGGCCTGGAGCTGCAGGAGCCTCTCTCAGTCCTAAATTCCAGGGCTGCTGTTGGAGGTGTACAGAGGGTGAACTCGTCCTCTCAGCCCTACCGCCCAACTCCCCAACAAAGTGAATCTGGAGCTACACTTGTCAGCCAGGACCTCTCCAGTCGTGGAATTGAAATCGCTGCCTCTTTCCAGTTGGGATTCCAGGACTACCAGGCCTACCAAAGAGACAAATACCACAAGGACAAGAACAGCATGGTAAGAATGAGAGGTGTTATCCCGGAGGGCCCCAGTCACTAAGTTTCTGATTTCTGTGCTAAGTGCTGTGTGTCTCTGCTTCACATCCTATGAAGGGAATGCTGATGTCTCCTTGAAGGTAAGGGCATAGTCACAGAAATTAGGTGACATGCACCAGAAAGTTGGAGAGTTGAATTCCGATTCCCTTAACTTCCTACAAGCATTCCCTAAATCCCAGATCTTGCCCATAAGCATCTAGTTTCTATGGTCTCAGGGGTGAATGAACCTGCTTTTATGGAACTTAGCAGAATGGTGAATGTGGCCAACCAACGGATTAATAATAATCCCAAGGGCACTAAAAGGGAACCTGATTCAGCTGTCTTGGCAGGTGTTTTAAAGACTGAAGCAGGTGGTGGTGATTCCCCAGGAATGAGTGCGTGGAAGTTATCAACTGGGAAGGAAGGCCCATGCAGAAGAAATGGAGACAATGAGTGCCATGGCGAAGCATGGACAGCCATGGAGGGATGTGTTCAATGACAGGCACAGACCAGAGGTTCTTAGTGCAATAGGTCCACAGCAGAGTACAGCACTCACCATGGCTTCTCTTATGCTTCTGTCTAAGTGAGGTGTGGCCAGTGACCATCTGCTTTTCTTGGGCTGAGTCCACTCCATTGTGCTTTGCGAGTCAAAATATCTTAATAACCTGGAGAGTCTTTATATGTAATTATGAATAGCAGAGACAGATTCTGGGCAAGGCCTGTGATGTTCTAGCAGGTGAATTTCTGCCCATCACCAAAGGTCATACAGCTGATAGAATATTGAAGTCTACTTGACATCCAGGATTATACAGAATATTCTTCCTAAGAGCTGAGACAACTCACATAAGGACTTAGTCTGGTGTCTTGCACAGAGTAAGAACTCAATGGCTGGTAGATATATAATGCTTATATTGAGACTCTAGATGGGAGGAATTTGCAAGCTTTAAGACTTTTGGTTCATGGGAAAATTCTAACACTTAAAGTTGTCAACCATAGATTGCAGTACTTCATGGGGAAGTGAGATCTCTATTGTGGTAACCCAAGATGAAATATTTCCCCATATGCTTGAAGCGGTCCATAAAGCGTAGAATGAGACACTGATCTCAAGCTCCTTCCATCTCCAGGGCTTCATTAACCTTGGCACCAGTGAGAACAAACTCTGCATTGACCTGATTACTGAGAGGGTAAGTTGTATATTGGGCTGTCTATGCTGAGCTTCACCCATTAAGCCCAGTCACTTTAGAATGTTCCTCAGCATTTGGTAGATAGAAGAGGGGGACATAGGGATTTGGGAAAGGGGTGGAGAAATCCTTCTAGAACAGTGTATGTAAGTTCCAGCCTATGCTGATTGCATCCAGGCGTATTCTCTAGTTGGGCTGCTAACAGTCTCTAGGTTGCTTCCCAGTGAGGTGTCTGTAGTTTCTGTGTGTTTTATGACAAGAAGATGGAGGCCTCTGGTCATTAAGACACGAGCAGCAAGCACAGCTATTCTTCCAGCAGGCCAACTATATGCAAACACTCCTGTGTATGAAATAGGTAGACCTTTTGATCTGGTTGTCTTTATGTTCTATTTGTCAACAGTTGTGCCAGAGTGACATGAACCACATCGAGGATGTCCTGCTGCAATATCCTGATTGGAGAGGGCATCCATTGTAAGTGACCCTCTACGCCTAGGCTCCTTCCTCATCCATGGATACCTTCCCTTGTCCAGGGAGAGTTCAAATACCAGATTCTGGGTTGGCTGCCCCCCCCCCCATTTCCTTGGGTAACAGCTGCTAGGAAATGCCTAGAGCTAAAGTTCTTTAACAGCTTCAGATACTAGAGATAACACTGTTCTACAATTCAAAAGGCTCAAGTTACTGTCCCAACTCTCCTTCAGCATCTGTGTGACTTGGAGAGTTGATAGCCTCAGTTGATAGTCTTGCAAAATGAAGTTGGACTGGATGGCAAAGGCAATTTTTAGGTTGGACAGTCTGTCCTTGGAAAAAGGTTGGGGTGTAGGCCCTGAAAGAAGGGAGCCTGGGAACCACAGGGTCTCTGGGTGTGTTCACAGCCTGCGGGAAGAACTAGCTCGGTTCCTGACCTACTACTGCAAAGCACCTGCCAGCCTTAATCCAGATAATGTGAGTCAGTCGCTCAGCCTTCCTGTGGACCTGGTAGTGGGCTGTTTCCTTGGGGCGGAGGGGCGGGCTCTTGATGCTTCCTAGGGGATACAAGCAGAACCAGTGGGAACTTTCAGGACTAGGGTGGAGTGAAGGTCTGTGGGTCCCAGTAGAAGAGGCTGCTTGTGGCTATTGCTTCCGGGGGAGGGAGGTAGCATGGCTGCACCTTACAGATACTGGTTTGTGATTTCTTTGTCTCGTACACTATTGTTAGGTGGTTGTTCTTAATGGCTGCTGCTCTGTCTTCTCTGCATTAGCCATGGTTCTGTGTGAACCAGGGGGTAAGTAGAGGGGCCCTACTTTCCATCCTGGCAAGATCCTGGCACCTGAGGGAATTCGCAGGCACCAGGCTTTAAAGAGAAAAGAACATCTTGACTCCAGGTCTTTACCTAAAGTACTGGGACATCTCTGATGCCTAGGAAGTCACCATATTTTAGGGCAGTGATGGGTTTTGATTTCCTCAAGGCGATATACCTCAGGAACAATGACAATGGAAGGCAACCCCTTATATTAGTAATTGGACTTTGCGGTTCAGTTACAACATAGAAAGCCCTGGTAACTGATTTAAACTATATGGACTACTTCCTACCTCAAAAAAAAAAAAGCCTAATTATAATTGGTCTTGGACCAAAGAAATGAGAGAGACCAATTCTCAACCTCCCTCCTAATGATGCCTTATCAAGACCCTGAGGTCTTGATGGTCTCTGGGTACATGCAAAGAAGTGGCCAAGATGGTTCTGTTGCACTAATAAGGACCGAGTCTTTGCTTCATGAGGCCAAATGCATGAGAAGAAAGACATATGATATCACTAGGTCCAAATAACCCAAGTTGTCCTTGTGCATGGGCATCCTTGCCCTCGAGTCTGTGGCCTGGAACAGATAAAACATTCCTGGTGCTCAGACAGCCAACCATCAGCAAGCCTAGCTTCACTTGTGCCTGGGACGCTGAGCCATATATAGCCTTATTGTTTGCCTTCTCTCATAATACACTCCAGGAGAGGAAAATAGTTTTGTTTCCAAATAACATCTGTAAGAATGGATAGTTTTGTAGATCCTGTGTGCAAGAACATTAATCCCTGGACGGAAGGGATGACCCAACTGACATTTACTGCTGGTAACCTTGTTGCTGGTGGGGCTGGGCATGGGGGTGGGGAGGTAGTGTATTCTGACAGAGGGAACCTGAATTGATAACTTTGCCTCCTTATGCCTTTCCAGATGCCTTTCTCATCCCCACTCCCTTCTATGGTGGCTTCATCTTTAGCTCCTACTTGTATGCCAAAGTTGAACTGATTTGCGTCCACCTAGAGAGTGAGGTCAGAATGGAGCCCTCCCCTGATCAGTTCACCTGGGCAATGCATGAGTCTAGAGCCATTTAAAGGAAATATGGGTCCTACCTTTATTTACTTGTGAGTGAAGGTCGGGGAGAAGGTAAAGAATGTGATAACCACTACACTACAGAAACGGAGCTAAGGGTAAAGAATGAACAAGGCTTGTGGTGGTACTGGCACCTGGCACAAAGGCCAGGGCTTGTGTAAATTCCTGGGAATGGATCTTTGAGGCCCAGGTGCTTTTCATGGTGGGGCAGGGTAGGGTGGCATTTCTCAGTGTTGCTTCTCTTCTAGATCACCGAGGAGAACACCAGTCCTTTCCAGCTCACTGTGAAAAAGCTGGAGCGAGCCATGGTTGAAGCTAGACTCAAGGTGAGGAGGAAATAACTATTTTCAGGGTGATCACTACTGGCTGTGAACAAAGTTCAGTACTGAGACAGGAGGACAATTTGCTCAACACCTGGTGGACTCACTAGTTGGAGACTGTGAATGATGCCCGAGCCATTTCCCATAGGGGCCATGCAACCAGACCCTCTTGCTTTCCCCTCTGTGGACATGATGGTAGGTGCTAACTTGAGATCCTACCCAGGTCGTCTTAATGTCGGCTACCAGGCACTTTGTCCTACAGGGCTGCTTGACTGCATTGGGGGTGGATGTGAAGGGCTCCTGTTCACTCACATTTGCATTCTTAGGGGAAAAGAGTCAAAGGCCTTGTGCTAATCAACCCACAGAATCCTTTGGGTGACATCTACTCCCAAGAGTCACTGAAGGAATACCTGGAATTTGCCAAGAGGTATGAGTTTCACCCCTCAAGACTCTGAGGTTCCTGAAAGGATTCACATCATTCATAGTCCACTCAAACTAGAAAATAACTTACCCTAAATAATGTTGTCAAACATTGCAGAGCTGCATACAATGAACTGAAACTGAATGTGCCCATGCATTTGCTGCTTTGATCAATCTGCCCTTTCTTTGCTATCTGTTGCTTAGTACAAATATTCACCCAATGGTCATTGTATACTTTGAGAATGTGTCCCTGTAGAACATCAATGGTCCATTGCTAAGAACATTCTAGAATCCTGAATCGGTTCTAGCTGGGCAAGTAAATTTTGCACTTTTTCTCAGAAGGAATAGACCTATTTAAACTTCATGGCTAACCCTAATCACTAATAGCAGAACGCAGGGATAGAGGCACAAACATTCAAGCTCAGTGGGCAAGACTTCAACAGAACGAGGTGTAAAGCCCAGCTCCAGCACCTGCTAGCAGATGGAATTCACTTAAAGGGAAACTAGGCTTGAAGAGGTTATCTGTGAAATGGAGATGACCACACAAAGGCTTGTTGGAGTAAATGAAATGATGTACATATATGGAGCTCACTTGGTGCCACCAACTCGGCTCAGACCCTGGCTGGGGATTCCTGATTGTATCAGACTAAAACACTGAAAGAGGGCACCCACCCTCTTTCCACTGGTCTCTGACGGTCGAAAGGTTCAAGAAGTTCTCATGTGTTTCTGTGTTCCCTCTAAGCCATGTTCAAGGGTCCCTTGTGATCTATCACCTCTTGCTACCTTACAAGGGTTACGTGGGCTGCTGGGGAAAATTGGAGGATCTTCTCTGTACCCAGAGAGGAACATTAGGTAAATGAAAATTGGAGAGAAGCTAGATCTTGTTCTTTCTCTTCCACCTAACTACAGGAATTACTTGCATGTGATCATAGATGAGATTTACATGCTCACTGTGTTTGATGACTCTCTCAAGTTCCACAGCGTGCTGAGCATAGAAAGGTGAGTTGTGGCTCTCATTGCCAAGTCCAGCTGAGACAGATTCCTGCTTTGCAGGAGTCTGTGTGCCATCAACTTATTTGCTATCTGACAGTGACTGAGTTAAGTGGGGTAGTGAGTATAGTAAGTAAAGCCTTCAACTTCCGTGTGTCTTCTAGCATAAATGCTATTTTGTATATAAGATGGCTTGAGATTGAGACAAACTATACTGGCAAAGTTTATTAGAAAGTGCCAAAGCAGGTCAGGGTGTTCCTGTAGAGCACAGGTAAAGCACACAGCAAGACGGAACTTTTTAAAACTTATTCTTTGGCCCCAGAGATAAGATTCCAACAAAGCAAGGGAAGGGCATTCCTGGCAGAAGGAACAGTTTAGCAAAGGTTGGCAGTAAGGGATAGATGAGGGGTGGGGGTTCTCTAGCACAGTGGGTAAGACTCGGCTTGGAACACTTGCATTCCATATTGGAATGTGGCTCCTGTCTTGGATCTTCCCTTTCCAAAGCCAGATTCTCCCTAAAGCATACCCAGGAAGGGAGCAGATGAGGGCTCAAGTACTTGGGTCCCTATCAAGTCCTTGGAATAGCTGGATTAAATTCCAGGCTTCTGTCATGGACATGGCTTAATCCTTGCTGCTGTGGCCATTTGAGGACTACATCAAGCAGTTGGGAGCTCTTTCTCCCTCTGCCTTTCACATAAAATGAAATTACGTAAAAAGCTTTTAAAATAGCTATAGGTGAGCATTTTCTAAAAATTGTGAATGGGACACGTTTAGTTAAGATACCTGTGCTCCATGCTGTGGCACCTGGCTTACTGCTCAGCTCCTCCTTTGCCTGTGGCTTCCTGACAATGCAGATCCCAAGAGGGAGCAAGTGCAGCTTCAAGTAATTGGGTTCCTTCCACCCATGTGGGAGGCCTGGACTGCTCCCAGCTCCTGACTTTGGCCTGGCCTGGTGTTCTGTATTGCAAAGATTTGGGGATGGGTGCTCGATAAGTCTGCCTCACAAAGTATTCAAGTGTGGGTGGCCCACATCTGGAGAGCCAGCTGCAAAGAAGGTAGCTTTGGAGCAGGTGTAGAAACAGCCCAAGTCAGGCTTCTGAACTGGACTTGAGGGTCCTATTCAGTGGGTGTGCGGGAGCTGCTCCATCTCAACCTTCATGGGGAATTTGTGACTTCTGGCTTAACTGGAGGAGCAGTTTCTTAAACTTTGCGATCCTCAGGCCATGCTGCCTAGGAAGGATCTGAAGTCTGTCTTCCCATTTCTGCTTATAGATCCCAAGTCTGCATCCTTCAAATACTTCTGCATAACTTTGATTTTTGCATTTGTTCTCCAGCTTGCCTGACCCCAACAGGACCCACGTGATCTGGGGAACTAGTAAGGTGAGCCCCAGTTGCCCATCCATGATGGGAAAGGGAGAAGTGAATGGAAGGCAGACAAACCAGATGTTCCCTCTTCTACCTCTCTTCCTCTAGGATTTTGGCATCTCTGGCTTCCGCTTTGGCGCTCTGTACACCCACAACAAGGATGTGGCCTCTGCTGTGTGCTCCTTTGGCTACCTCCACAGTACCTCTGGCACTGCCCAGTACAAACTACACCGCCTGCTCCAAGACAAAGGTACTGGGCTCCACCTCCAGGCCAGCGTCTCGGGCAGATATCATGGCCACGGAGAGTCCCAGCAAATCATGCTAGATTTGCTTGGGACTCTGGTGTGTTCTCAACTTGCTGAGTTCACTCTTTGTCTCACGTTAAACCATGGCAGGATGTGAAGTTTGGAGGAGGGCAGATTATAGCTCAGATGGGGCAGTCACATGTGGATAGGAAGCAGAGATCTTGTTCTATAACACAGAATGGTCTTTGAGTTGCTGCACTCTGCCTGGGAATAGTTATAATAGTTATTCTGAGGCCTGAAAGTAGAAACTTCAGAAACTGGTCTTTGTGTGATTGTCTTTTGCACCCCAACACTGTGCTCACTTCAGACAAAGGTAACAAGAGGTTCTGAAACTTAATAAAATCTAATCTTGCCTCCCCAAGTGGCTGAAAAAGAACCATCCTTGAAACAAGTTGACATCATAAGGTCTACGGCATCTACATTCACCTTCTCCATTAAGCTCAAGAGAATTCTGACCTCCAAGGACAATTCCCTCTTTAATGCCAAGGCCCAAGCGTGGCAAAGACCCCTTTTGAAAATTCAGATCCAGGCTGGAAGTTTTAAACTTATAGCTGTGATGTATTGAGACAGTCACGTCACTCGATTGGTTAGCTGAAAGCGAATAGCTTTTAAACAATAGATGGGCAAGAGGGTAGATCAGATGAAGGCCACAGGATAGTTCCTACGTAATGCCAGACACGTTGACATTTTGGCAGAAATCAGATCCTAACTAATAGAATATTGGTTTTTAACCTTGGATGCACCTTGGAATTCCTTGGAACTTCAATTTGAAAGTTGTTTTTTTAATCTAAAACACAGGCTATTTCTGTGACACATCAGGTTAAGCCTTCACCTGCAATGCTGGCATTCCATGCTAGAACACAAGTTTTAACCCTGGCTTCTCTGCTTCCAATTAAGCTCTCTGCTGATGTACCTGGGAATGAAGCAGAGGATGGCTCACATACTTGAGTCCCTATCACGCACATGGGATACCCAGATGGAGTTCCAGACTCCTGGCTTTGGCCTGGCCTAGCCCTGGCTATTGTGTTTTTGAGAAATGAACCAGCGGATGAAAGATCCCTGGCTCTTTGTCCCCATCTCTGTTACTCTTTCAAATAAATAGATGAGTAAACGATTAAGACACATAAACAGGAAGATCTTCTATCTACTATTTCACTCCTGAAATATGCATAACATCTGAGGCTGGACCAGGTTAACCAGGAGCCTAGAACTCAGTCTGGACCTCCTATGTGGATGGCAGAGAACTATGTCCTTGAGCCATCTTCTGCTTATCCAGATGTGTCCATGTCATGAGGAAGCTGGAATAAGGAGATAGGATTCAAACTTGGGCACTTTGACATGGGATGTAGGCAACACATCAAGTGGTGTCTTAATTACTTGGGAATCTTAAATATTGATGTGTGGGCTCCATCCCCAGTGATTCTAAGATCTAGGGGGTATAAACTGGGCATCAGAGCTTCTTAAAGCCCCCCCCCCTTGCCAAGTTCTATCACAGAGCTATAACAAAGAGCATCCCCAAGCATGCCTGAGGTTCTCTGTATCCTATGTGAGGTGAAAAGGACCTTGAGTTCTACTGTTTGCCCAGTGCACAATGGTGGCATCCAGTCCTCAGAGCTACCTGGGCTCCTTGTCTCAGGGGTGTGAACTCTAAGGGAACCTTCCTTCTAGACCATTAGGAAGCTTGTTATCAGTAGAGCCATAGAGGAGAGGTGGGTGGGTTGGGTATAACGGACGTCAGCTAGGCTATCAGGCTGAGTCGGTCTTGGTTACCAACATGGCTTGCATGGAATCTAAATGGGAAGCATCTGGGGAGGAACCATCTGGCAAATCCCTGCTATCAGTTCCATGATGGCTTTCTTCTGCCCATCCAGAATGGATCAACACAGTGTACCTGCCAACTAACCACTCACGGCTCAGGAAGGCCTACAATTATGTCACTGGTCAGCTGAAGCTATTGGGAATCCCCTTTCTCAGTGGTGGCGCTGGCCTCTACGTCTGGATCAACTTGAAGTCAGTGAGTCCAGGCAGTAAGAAACCTCGTGTACTCGGGTGGACCTGTCAGGTGGGTCTTAGGCTTAGCACTACTCTTCTTCCCTAGTACCTAGAACCATGTACATTTAATGAAGAACTGGCCCTCCATCAGCACTTTCTGGACATGAAGCTGATGTTATCTCGTGGCAAAAGCTTCAAGTGTAAAGAGCCTGGCTGGTTCCGCCTCATGTTTGCAGAAAAACTTCCAACGCTGGAAGTGGGTGAGTGGTGCTGGCCTTCTGATCCTGGCACTCCCTAAAGATACTCCACCAACTCCTCTGCAACTCAATACCTGAATCTTCCTTTTCTCTTTATTAACTCCAACCCCTCTCCACTTGTTTCCATTTGTATCTCTAATTTAGCTTCTTGGTATATAGAAATTGCCTAATACCTCCAGTTCTACCTGTTCACTTTTGATACCTTTTTGGATAACCACATTTTGCCTGCCATTGAGGGAGGCAATGGATCATATGTTAATATAGAAGTACTCTGTCAGGGGTGGGCATTCTGCATAGTGCTTACAATGCCATCTGTGATGCCTGCATCTCATTGTGAAGTAGCTGGCTTGAGATCAGGCTCTTCCTAATGCACACTTTGGGAACCAGCAAGTGATGACTCAAATAGCTGGGTCTCTGCCACCCAGTGGGGAACATCCAAATTGAACTTCTGGCTCCTGGCTTTGGCCTGGCCTAGCTTTGGTTGCTGTATGCACTGGGGAGGTGAACCAGTGGATGGGAGATCTTTCACCCAGCTTCAACAATTTTTAAAAATTGTTCATTCTTGTGGACTGGCAGTCTAGCAGGTATGAAGGGTAGATGGCCATAGAAGAGCCTGTAGTTTGGTAATACAAAGCTTCAATTCTGATCCAAGGGTATTGCATTCAATTACCTTTTACATGTCAGACACCTGCTGAGAATATAGCAATGAATAATTCATTGCCATGAATGTTTATGTTAAGGAATGTTGTTTGGCTAGTGGGGTAAACAGCAAATGAAAGAACTAAAGACCAATAGAAATCTGAATACAGCCAAGGCCATGAGCTAGGGCACAGGATTTGATAAGGGACATGGAAGCATCAAGCAGGCTGCTGATGCAATAAGGTTTTTTTTCAAAATCAGGTTTGTAACTTGGAAATCATGCTGGCATGCAGTAGTCTTGCACCCCAGACTTTTTTCGTCTGCCCCAAACTGCCTGTGTCTGGAGCCCACCAGAAATAATTGCACTAATGCTTGCTCCTGTCTCCATTTGTACCCTCTCTAGCCATGCAGCGGTTGCACAGCGCGTTACAGATTCAGAAACAGATTCAGGAACAGAAACGGATAGAGAAGATGCTGGCGGATGCGTCTGTTTCCCAGCCCCCGGCTCTATCCAATCACATGCTTGGGGCTGGGGGAGGGGAGGTGTGAAGACTAGGGTGTTGCTGTGACTAAGCAAACAGGCTCCTCCACAAACGGTCTTATCTGACCCACCATGAGCCTCCACGAGCTAAGCATTTGCCGTCTTAAGAAGCTTTGCCTCTTTTTAATCTTTGCTTTTATACCCAAAATGTTTTTATTGGGATCAGGATGGGAAGGTGTGGAGGTACCTAGATGGATAAAGGGAGCTGTCTGGGTACCTATTTTAGATGAGTTTGGTTCTTATGTTGATTACCTAATAAATTCCATATTCTCTTAAATCCCAAGCCTTGGACTTCTCATTCACTCTTCATAATCACCTTTAGGGGAGAGACTTTTAAATACTAAGGCAGGGGCCTGGCGCGGTGGCGCAAGTGGTTAAAGGTCCTCGCCTTGCACGCCCGGGATCCCATATGGGCGCCGGTTCTAATCCCGGCAGCCCCGCTTCCCTTCCAGCTCCCTGCCTGTGGCCTGGGAAAGCAGTCGAGGACGGCCCAAAGCTTTGGGACCCTGCACCCGCGTGGGAGACCCAGAAGAGGCTCCTGGCTTCGGATCGGCATAGTATCGGCCCGTTGCGCTCACTTGGGGAGTGAATCATCGGACGGAAGATCTTCCTCTCTCTCTCTCTCCTCTCTGTATATCCGCCTTTCCAATAAAAAAAAAAATAAAAAAATAAATAAATACTAAGGCAGGTCATATATCAAGTCTGTGGTCAGGGGCAGTTTAGAAAGGAAGCAGTTCCAATGGATGAATAATTTATAGGTGATGGCTGTCAAGTTCCATAGAATTCTCTTCAAGAATTATCTCCATCTAATGGGTATGTGTGTGTGTGTGTGCAATTTCAGCTACTTCCTATTCCAAATTCAGGTTCCCTCCCCCCTCCTAGTTTTTACAAGTCTTTTTTTTTTTAAGATTTATTTTTATTTCAAAGGTAGTTACATAGAGGTGAGACCAAGACCTTGCAAATGATTCACTCCCCAAATGATCATAATGGCTAGCTGAATCAGTTCAGTTCCAAAGCCAGGAGCCTTTCCCAGATCTCTCACATGAGTGCAGGAATCCAAGCACTTCAGCTGTCCTCTGCTTTTCAGGCCATTAGCAGGAAGCCAGACTGAAAGTGGAGCAGTCAAGATACAAACTGGAATCCACATGGAATACTGACACTGTAGGTGGAAGCTTAACTTGCTATGCCATGGTGCCAACCCCTTTACAAGGTTTTAAAATTACTTTCTGGTGACAAGCTTAGTGGCTTAGTCCATTCAGGCTGCTACAACAGAATAGCAGAAACTGGGTGATTTATAAACAACCAAGTTGGCTAAAGCCCAGAATCATTATCTTGGTAGATTGAATGTCTGATAACGGCTGTGCTTCCTATAACCCTTCACAGGGCAGAAGGTACAAAGGGTCTCCCTCTGCCTGCATGACCCAGTCACCCCAAGCCCAATGTGCTGCCTTGGGAATATGGATTTCAATATAGGACTTTGAGGGGGTGGACACACATGTTCATAGCACCTGAGGGTCTTCCAATTCCATCTCTAGTGTTCTCCACTATTGGAATCACAGTCAACTCTGAGCCTCTCTGCAGAGCCCTCACCCTGAATCTGACACAATAGAGCAAGAGCTACCACCATCCTCCAAACAACCAGAAAGCCCTCGGGGGAGCATGTGCCTGGCCCAGGGTGAAGACCTCACTTGGGATGCCCACACCCATCTCCGAGTGCTTGGGTTTGAGACTCAGCTCTGCTTCAGCCCAAGCTTCCTGCTAGTGCATACCTTCGGAAGCAGCAAGTAATGGCTCAAGTTGTTGAAACTCACACTGAGTTCTAGGTTCCTGATGTTAGCCTGGCCTAACTCCAGCTGTTGCAGGCATGTGGAAACTGAACTGGCAGATGGAAGATATGTGTGTCTGTCTGCTTTTCAAATACAAACCAAACTTTTTCAGGCTCATGTGTGGTGTTTTTGGAATTATTTAAGATGGCAAGATGATCCTGAAGCATTTCCATGTGGGAGTATTCATGAAATCTTTGCATGGTGGGGAAAGTATCAGAAAGTCTGATGTGTACATGAGTGTGCTCCAAAAAGTTGGTGCAAAAATGGAATTAAAAGATTGACGCAAACAAAATTTGGTAATCATGCATAGGTTATTTCATGATGCATATTTCCCATGAACTTTCTGGCAACCCTTAGTGTACATTCATAGATACAGAGCTTTGAGACACATTTCAGATGTGCTAGCTGTTCTTCAAGCTGAGTTTGTATGACCCAAGTGGAGGCAAAGGCATCCTCAAAGAGTGAGTACATGTGCCCATGATACCAACCCTTTAAAGAGAAAAATAAGGTGTAATTTGTCTCCTCGAATAAGGAACACAGGCCATAAATGTACTAACGTTTCAAAACTTCTACTCAAGTGACCCACATCCTGAACAAGGAATAGAACATTTCTACCATTCAAGATAAGAATTTCTTGCTCATTGCCAGCCAATTCTTGTCCCCATACTTCCCCATGTATTAAATTCTCTAGACCCAATTTTTATTAAGATTGCTTAATGTTGTACTTTGAGAGGCAGTGCTCACCCACTGGCTCACTCCCCAGATACCTTCAATAGCTGGGGCCTCACCAGGGCTGGGCTAGAAATGCAATGCTGGACTATTAAGTGGGTGGTAGGAGCCCAGTTGCCTGAGCCATTACCCTCTGCTTCCCATGGTTTACATCAGCAGAAGCTGGAGTCGGGAGCTGGTGGTAGGAACAAAACCCAGGAACCCAGTGTTCACTCAAGTGCTCACTCAAGTTCTGCCAGTTTTAGTACTCTGTAAATGGAATCACAGTGAAGTCCTGTGTGTCCAGCTTCACTCATCAACAAGTAATACTGATCCATGCTACCGTGTGTTAGTAGTCCATTCTTCTTTATTGCAGAGGAATACACTTGCATCAATATTTCATGGCTTGTTTATTCATTTACTGTTGAATATTGGGGTGTTTCTTGTTTGGGGAGCCTTGTGAATCAAAGTTATGAATATTTGTGCACACATTTTATGCTCATGTATTTAATTTTTACAGGTAAATATGTAGAAAGAATAGGTCATAGATTGATATTTCATAGAATGAAATGAGCAGATTTCATTCTGCTTTCAGTGTACTCTTGGGCAATTCACATGGTTTTCGTGACATGTCAGCATTTTTTTTTCTTTTTGAAAAAGGTGAATTATTTGAATTTGCATTGAATTATTGAGTTCTTTCTAGATTCTAGATACAAATCCTTTGTCAAACACTTGTCCAATCTAGGATTTTCTTTTTCCTTTTCTTAGTAGCAAAAGCTTTAAATTTCCACGGATCAACTTTTGGTTGTGCATTTTGTGTCTAGTCAGATTTTTGGCTGTGAAGATTTTTCTTCTGCAAGTGTGTTAGTCGCAGCACTTACATTTAGGTCTATTGTCTATTTTTCAGATAATTTTTTGCATGTGGTATGAGATAAAGATCAAGGTTTAGCCCTTATGGATACTTTCTTCCTTTTCGATTTGTACACTATTTATTTATTTATTGTAATTATACTTCTAGAATCTCTGCAATAGAACCAAATAAGTAGGAGAGGGCATCTTTGCCAAGTTCTCCAACTGAGCAGGATTGAGTTCAGTCTTTTGCTCTGAAATATGTTACTGTAAGTATTTTTCAAACTACTGAGATAGAAGTTCCTTCTGGTCTTAGCTTGTCAAGACTTTCACCATCGATGGGAAATAAATTTTGGCAGATGTTCTTACTTGCTTCTATAGAGATTATATTACTTTTCTCCCTTAATAAAGTAAATTACATTGATTTTTTGTAAAGCTATTGAGAAACCAACTTGCTATTCCTTCAGAAGGATCCACTTGGTGTCATCATGCATCTTCCTTTTAGATATTGTTGGATATGGTTTCAACACATTATTAAGAATTTTGCATCTTGGCTCAGTGTCATAGCCTAGTGGCTTAAATCCTCATCTTGCATGTGCCTGAATCCCATATGGGATCTGATTCGTGTCCTGGCTGCTCCACTTCCGATCCAGCTCCTTGTTTGTGGCACAGCCTCAGGATTCTGCATCCATGTGGGAGACCCAAAAGAAACTCCTGCCCCCTGGCTTTGGATTGGCTCAGCTCCAATCATTGTAACCATTTGGGAATTGGGAAGATCTTTGTTTCTCCAGCTCTCTGTAAACCTGATTTTCCAATAAAAATAAATATATTTAAAGAATTTGCATCTATTTTCCTGAGGGGCATTGTTCTGTGATTTTGGAGGGATAATGCATTATTTGTTTTGATATCACAATAATAACAGCCACAAAATTGTTTTAGGATTTGCCTTGGCACATGCAGCATGTTCAAGTTTTCCATGTTTTGTGCCAGTTTTAGTAATCTGTGTCTTCCAGTGAAAATTTCCATTTCACCTAGGTTTAGTGATTGGCATAACATTGTTTTTATTTATGTTTACTTATCATCCTTTCTGCAAGATCTTCTCTTTCCAGATATTGTGAATGTTACATCAATTGTATGAATCTTTTCCAAGAACCAACTTTGAGTTTTGCTCGTATTTTTGTGCTATTAATTCTTTTCTCTATTTTATAAGCATTCTTTGTTTCCTTTTCTTTGCCTAGGGCATCATTTGGACTTTTTCCAGCTACTTAATGCAGAAGCTTAGCTCACTGACTTTAAGCTGCTCCTTTTCCAATAGAAGCATTTCAAGCCACTCGTGTCTTTCTAAGCACTGCTTTAACTATAGCTCATAAATTTTGATATGCTGGGATTTTATGATCCTCCAGCTAAAACTATTTTCTACTTTCCCTTGTGATTTCTTCTGCTTTTCAAAATCTACGGGTTAGTCAGCTTATGTTTCTTGGTTTCTAGGTATTTGGCGAATTATTCAGGTCCCATTGTTAATGATTTTCACTTTAAACCCACTGCGACTAGAGTAGATGGTGTGATTTCAGTCCTTCAAAATTTACTGAGATTTGCTCATGGGTGCACTTGTTGGAGCGTCTGATTTAACCTGCTCAGTGCTTCACGGGTAATTTTGCGATTGCTCTGTATCATAGTCTATAAATGTCAATTAGGTTAACCTGTTTTATAATTGTTCATCAGAAGGCCCATTGTTCTCAGTGGAAGTCTGCAGTCCTTAACGGTTTATTTTCAAAGATTCATGATCTAGCTCCTTCCTCCCAGATTTTCTCCCAATCCCCTCAAGCTCCAGTGACAGTGGACTTGCTGGGTTCTGTTTTCCCACCTTCAAGTCCCTGCCAAACTCCTCCTTCTGCTCCAACACCTCCAATGTGCCACGGCTCTGTCTTCAGAACCCAACTATCGCTTGCAATGAACGCATGAGGCATCATCCCCCCACAGTATCCTGCAGCCTTGCTAAATTCACTGATTAGCCACAGTATTAAGGTCATTATTATTAGTCCCGTGAGTAGGCCATTAGTATTCGCCCTAGTATCCTTTAAATGAGTGAAGTAGGCGTTGTCTGTGAATAGAAACTATTTTCCATCTTCCCTTTTCAGGGTGCGTGCTTTTTCTTTATTGTAGATGTACTGCTAAGAATAAAAGCAGTGAGAGAGGACACTCTTGCCTTGTCCTGTTAAGCGTCTGTAGGGCTTTGAAGGGATGGAAATAATTCTCCCTGCTGTAGGTACCCACGGCATCCAGAAATTCCCTTTTAACTTATTTGAGAGGGATGGAGGGAAGGAGACTCCCCACTACTACCTGCCTCCTACAGTGTGCACAGCTGGAAACTAGTCTCTGAAGTGCAACCTTCTGCAGGGGTTCACCTGTGACAGGGGACAAAGATGTCCCAAGCGGCATCCCTCAGAGTTCAGGAGTTGGCTTATGAGCTTTAAAAGGAGGACAGAGAAACTGCAAACTGAGGGAGAGAAAGTTGACATCAGAGGCACAAGCGTTCCCAGGGGCTCGCTTTGCTAAACTCTGAAAAGCCGAGGGGTGGTGAGCCTCCTGGTGCCAGCCAGGAAGGATCCCAGCCAGCTCCGGGCTGGGAGCCGGTGATCAAGCCCTTCCTGGAGGACTCTCCTCAGTTCCAGCCGCTCTTCCGTGTTCGGCGTAGGCAGGGATCGGCCAGCCACCCCACCCCACCCGACCCGACCCTACTACCACCAGCATCACGCGTGCGCCCCCCTAAAGCGCAGGCCTCGGCCCAGGGGCTTCATTCACCGAGCGCCAGGTGGGGCAGATGCGCTCGGGGCAGTCCCGGAAATCCGGCCCGGGCGCCCCGTGTCCGGCCGCACTGGTTCCGGGGCCCTCCCGGACTCAGCCGCGCGTCCAGCACTGGGGGACAGCCTTCGGGCCTCAGATCGCACGTGAGCAGAGCGGTGTCGGCGCTGCCGCCCAACCGGGGCGGTCCCCAAGCTGGCCGAGAAGCTGACAGCCGGGCCTTCTTCCCTCCGTGCGCTTTACGAAAGCGTCTCGGCTCTTCCGTCTCGACCCGCGCACACTTCCTCCCGGAATCCGGGAGCCGTCTCTCCCGTGGCCTCCTCCGTCCTACCGGGGAGGACCTGTCGGTGTTTAATGCCCGCCAGCCGTACCTCTTTGCGGAATCCCAAAGCCGATCTCCGACGTCTGTGTGGCTGTGCGCTCCCGGTGGACACCTGGAGCCGGGAGCGGTTCGCTCCCCGTCCCAGGCCGAGCCCCTACGCAGGCCTCCTCTGCCAGCCCCGCTGCCACTCCAAAGACCCGGGCTATTCACCGAGGTGAGCGCTGGGGAGAGCCCAGCCAGTTCGGGAAGGGCGCTGAAGACTTCGTGGAGCGTAATTTAGCTCCAAGGGGGTCACTGGGCTGCCCCCTCCTCACCTATCTTTTGATATATCCAAGCTTGTACGCACACCAGGACTGGGAAAATGGGGGAGGTGTTGTGAGGTTGATCAGAGATCACATTAAACACAAAGATGTTGAAGTTTACAGTCTGTATTTACTGGCTGGATAGCAGCCACAGAGCAAGACGCTGATAGACTAAAGCAAAAATGTTTTTAAACCTTAAAATCACATCCTGTTTGACACAGGTGACAGAGGGAGCGATCACGCAGACACAGTAGCGTAATTAACAGCCTTATTGTGTATTCTAATGGTGCTAGGCAGTCAGATGGTCGACCTTCCCCTTATCCTCAGATTAGCACTGAATCAACTACAGTCCGGCCAAAACACAGGTCTTTCATATCAACCTTTACTAGGCAGTGAGCCGTTGAGATCTTGGGAGTTGCCATGCATCCCTAGAAGGCTCCAAAGAAAATAACCCTTTGAGGAAAGAGTACCCAACCTTGAGAACACAACCCTCATGCCTGCTCCCTGCTTGCTGTAGCCTAGTGATTCCTAGGCTTAAACATGCTGGACTACGAGGTGACGGTTACCACGGTAACCGGAGGAGGGCAGAGCTTGCTGACCCTGATCTCAGGCTGTGACCCAGAAGGACAGAATTCTGAGGCAGTGGGGTCACTGCTTCACCAATGAGGGGCTGAAACAACCCCCGCTTCATCTTCTGTGTCAAAAGGAGCTAAAAAGCTCCTGCAACTCTCTTCCTGGCTCTTCTGCCTCTGTAGCCCTCTCCTTCACCTGTGTGTGCCTGCTACAGGGGAAGGGAAGCCCATGACCATGGTTCCCTGAAATAAAGGCCATCTAAATTCGTTTGTATATTCACCTGAGTTATTCTTTCCCTGGTGGTTGGCAAATCTAACACAAAGAATTCCTAAGAGTTCCACCTTTGTTGTAGAGGTGGGGTGACACAGCAACTGCTGTGTTGTTGGGTGGCCTCCATAAAGCTAGGGTTCTTTGCAGTGTTTGGATCCTAGCTAGTCTGATCACTGTGGGGGAAGCAGAAACTGCTTACCAGAGCTAAGTAGGGTGAGACCAGCTGCTCCTGGCATCCCATCCCACTAATGCCAGGTTCCTACCCATCCTCTGTTCCAGACCACCAGCTTGTCTCATCCTACCATTATGCCATCAGGTCCCCAAGTTCTGCGCTGCTAAGAACTTCATTTTCTCTCTCTCTCTCTCTCTCTCTCACACACACACACACACACACATACACACGTGTTTATTTGAAAGGGGGGAAGAGCATTGGCAGCACAGTGGGTAAAGCTACCACCTATGATGGCAGCATTCCATATGGGCACTGGTTGAAATGCTGGCTGTTCCACTTCCAAACCAGCTCCTTTCTAATGCACCTGGGATATCCAGAAGATGTTCCTGGCTCCTGGCTTCAGTTTGGTCCTGCCCCAGTCTTTGGGGCCATTTGGGAAGACCTCTCCTTCTCTGTCTATACTGTGCCTTTCCAAAAAATATAAAATAAGTCTTAAAAATTGATATCTACCCATTGATTTACTCCTCGACTGTCAACAATGGTCAGCGTGGGGCCAGGCCAAAAGCTGGGAACTCCAACTGGGTGACCTGTGTGGGTGGCAAGGACCCAACCACTCAGGCCATCGCCCGCTGCCTCCCAGGGTGTGCATTGGCAGGAAACTGGAATAGGAAGCAGAACCAGGACTCACACCCAGGCACTCCACTGTGGGATGCAGGCGTCCCCAGCACCACTTTGCCAAACACTTGCCCTGCTTACAGACTCAGCCCATTGAACCTTAGCTAGGATGGAAAAAGAATCTCAGGGGCTTCTTTGGTTACAGAACAAAAAACTTACACAGGTGTGGAAAAAGGGAAAACAGCAATAGAGTAAGGGTGTGTAAAGCAGGTGTACTCCTGGCACGGACTAGCTGCTTATCAGATGTGGCTTGTTGGAATGATTGTGCAGGTTGTAACAAAGGCAGGAAGTGGTCAGTAGATATTGCCCATCTCCAACAACTGCCTAAAGAGAGCCCTTGAGCAGGCCTGGGCATTGAGTGCTGCTTTCTTTTACAGATGTCTGCCCTTTCTTCGAAGGAGTCCAAGGCCCCTGCCACCTGTCTGGGTCCAACTTCCACACAAGACCCGTGCAGTGGCGACAGGGATGATCTGGAAAGTGAATGCTCCAGGACACCACATCAGAAGCTGCTGGGGGCCTATGCGGTGGGCGATCCCACTGCCATGGTCTCCTGTGACAGCCCCTTCTTGTCCTCTCGAGGCAAAGTCATTAAGTGGTTCTGGGACTCCGCTGAGGAAGGTTACAGGACTTACCGTATGGATGCATATGATGAGGACAAGAACCCCAGCGTGAGTGAAGCCCCCTCCCCACTGGGACCCAAGAGGGGGGCTGCAAGGTGGCCTAACTCGCTATGGCTGATAGAACCCAGCTTGCTCTTTTCAAGTGAGAAGAGTGTGGCTGGGCCATGTGTTTTTGCGGGCAGAGTTAAACAGATTTGTAGACGGATGGGTTGTGGATGGGAGGAACCTCCCAGTTTTTTTCTTTGCTGTCGTCTTAGCTCATTTGAGTTCTGCTTTTATTTTTTCTCTTGTAAGATTTATTATTTATCTTTTTTTTTTAATTTGGAAAGTCAGATTTTACAGAGAGAAGCAGAGACAAAGAGAAAGATCTTCTGTCTATTGGTTCACTCCCCAAGCGGCCACAGTGGCCAGAACTGAGTGGATCTGAAGCCAGGAGCCAGGAGCTTCTTCCAGTTCTGCCACGTGGGTGCAGAGTCCCAAGGCTTTGGGCCATCCTCGACTCTTTCCCAGGTCACAAGCAGGGAGCTGGATGGGAAGTGGGGTAGCTGGGACATGAGCTGGTGCCCATATGGGATCCTGGAACATACAAGGTTAGGACCTTAGCCACTAGGCCATTGCACTGGGCCCTGAATTATGCTGTTTCATCTTGCTTTCCTGCTCCTGGTAACTCAGAGAGCAGGAGTCAGTTGGGCAGCAGTCTTGCACTGCACCCTCTCTAGGGGTCTGGAAGGGAGAACTTGGCTTGCTCCCTCCGTCCTCCCTCCTAATGGAATAAATGCACAGAGAGAGGTGGCTGTCAGGCCTCCTGGGGTAACATTCACACAGAGTATCTTCTTGATCTATTTCCACCCTTGTCTCTGTATCCAAGTGCCAATTTACCATGCTTATTCTTTCATCCTGTAAACATGTCCTGAGTCTGCCTATACCCTTTGAGAGATGTGTAGTAATGTCTTGGGCATGCGTCCGGCCATCAGTAGGGGAGACATCACCTCCACTAGTCCCTGTGTCCTGGGCCCAACTCTGACCTGAGCTGTGAAGGAGATAGGTAAAGGGCTAACTCGTACTCTGTCTCTTTATGTTTCACAAATACAAAACAAATTTTTATTTTAAAAATGCTAATGGACAGATGTTGTACCTAGCTCTTAAGGTGCCTGTTAGGATACCCGTGTTCCCCATTGAAGTACTTCTGCTCAACACTCAGTTCCCGCTCTTATCTCCCTCCAGCTTTCTGCTAATGCACACCCTGGGAGGCAGCAGTGACGGCTCCGCTGGTTGGCTGGCTGCCACCTGGTGTTCTTGGCTCCGCCTTCAGTATAGCTCAGCTGTTTGGGACGTAGGCTAGTGGATAGGAGCTCTCTCTGGCTGTCTCTCTACACATTAAATAAGTAACTTTTAAAGAAAGATGACTTTTAGAAAAATTGTCTACTGGACCCAGAAGAGAAGATGACTTCTGGGTGATGTTTGGAGGAGGCTTCCTGGAAGAAGTGATATTAAGACATCTCTCTAGAAATGGGGAGAGGGGATCTGGGAGCCATGGGGCAGGACATGGCTTGAGCGGGATAAGGGGAGTAGTCACAAGGGTGGGCTGGTGGGTTGTGGAGGATCTCTGTGGGCTCCTCAGACCTGTCCCTGGTACCCTCTATCATGCTTATACTGCTTCTGTCCTCTCATCCCCAGGGCATCATTAATTTGGGCACCAGCGAGAACAAGCTCTGCTTTGACCTATTGTCCAGGCGGGTAAGTCCTGGGGGGTACCACGAGCTGTGTCACCATCCTCTGGAGGCAGCTTTGCTGGAATGTTGCCTCTGCGAGGGCCTGTAAAAGCCTCGGCAGCTGGGGCCTGGGAGTCAGGGGACCCTCGGCTCCAGCTCAGCCTTGGGGACAACTGCCTGTCTCCTCTTGGGCCTGTCACTTCCTGCTCCTGCTCTTGTCTGCTCAGACTCTCGCTGGCCCAATGCCTCCTGCTTTCTTGGCCCCTTGGTCTTAGAAGGAAGATGCTCCATGCTGTGTAGTGGGTATATCCCAGCTGGCACTTTAGGAGAACAAGATAAGACCCTCATTACAGTTCTGCTGATTTCCATAGCATTGTGGAACGCGGTTGGGGAGGAAGAGAAAGAGGCATTGCAAAACACTGTATAGTCATTGCTTCATGCAGGCCTGAGAGGAGATCATTTCAAATGCATGAATGGTTATACCATGCAGTAAGTCAGGAGGCAGGGATATTTGAATACTTCCCACCTTTGTTTTGAGGGTAATTCATTTAATTCTAAAGCTTATGTTAATTTAAGTTTACTTCTTAACATGACTTGCAAAATGCCTGGCAGTTTTGTAGTTAAATTTCTTGAGCTGGTCTTCTCCAGCAAGTCACAGCGAGCCCCTGTACGTGGGTCTCCCCAGGCTGCTGTGTTTGTTTGGATTTGCAGAAACTACAGTGCTTACCTCAAAGGAGCCAGTTTTTAAAAGTGAATGAATCTCAGCTTCTAAAAGCAGAGGTGGTAGGGAGGAGGTATTTGAGGGTCTTTATTTTTTGTTTGTTTGTTTGTTTGTTTGTTTTGACCATGAAGAGGAATCTTTAGGCACAGCAACTGAGATGCCTCTTGGGACTCCTTTGTTCCATGTCATGGTGCCTGGTTTAAGTCCTGGCTCTCTAGTATCAATTCCAGCTAATGTGCACCCTTGGGAGACAGCAGGTGACAGCTGACACAATCGGGTCCCTGCCACCTGGGAGACCTGGATTGAGTTCCCTGCTCCTGGCTTTGGTCTGGCCCAGATGCAGCTGTTTCTGGCATTTGAGAGAAAAACAGGCAGATATAGAAATCTGTTCCACTGATCTGCTCCCCAGGTGACACCAGCAGTGGGGACTGACCGGGCCAGGTCCAATGTAGGAACTAGAAACTCAATCCTGGTCACCCACAGGGTGGCAAGAACCAGCAACTTGGGACATCATTGTCCCAGGATCAACATTATCAAGAAGAAGGAGCGAGAAACTGAGCCAGTTTGTCAAGCCCAGGTCCTCTGGTATGCAGTATGTCTGTGTTCACTGCTATGCCACTCTGCTTGTCACAGTAGATTTTAAAGCCCTGTCTCACCAAACTCATCTCCTCCTTCTAAAACAGCTCAGCACTGAAATATACGCAGGCTGAGCCACATATATCATTGTAAATATTCTGCTAAAAAGTAAAAAAAAAAAAAAAAAGACAAATTTAATTTTAATGTGTTTTATTTCATCCAATATCTCTAAATTGTGATATCTTCAATATATAACTGATGTAAAAATATTAATGCTATATTTCACATCCATTTTTATTTTTTTAAAAAATATTTATTTACTTATTTATTTATTTGAAAGGCACAGTAACAGAAGGAAAACTGAGAGACACAGAGAAATTCCATCCACTGGTTCACTCTTCAAATGGCTGGGTATGTCTGAAGCCAGGAGCCAGGAGCTTCTTCCAGGTGTCCCACGTGGGTGCAGAGGCTGGAGCACTTGGGGGAATCTTCCACTGCTTTCCCAGGCACATTAGCAGGGAGCTAGATCAGAAGTAGAGCAGCTGGATCTCAAGCTGGTACTCACATGTGGCGGCTTACCCTGCTATACCACAGTGCTGTCCCTCACATCCATTATTCACACCAAGTCTTGAGAATCCAGTATGTCTCAGTTTGCGCTAGCCACTGTTCCAGTGGTCAGTGGCCATGGTTGACCAGTGGATTCCCTATTGGATTGGCTGTAAGTGATGAAGAAAGGGAAAGAAATTTGCACAGATATGTAGAAGTGGCTGGTTCTCGTTCTTCCTTCCAGTCCCACTGCCCAAGGCCCCATGTATAATTAGCCATTCTTTGACTTGTGATGGCCTAGCAATGACTAATCCAGCACCTGTCACGGAGTGGATGGACTAGAAACTGCTACGTGCCCTGAGGTGGCCCAGAGCCAGCAGGAAGCAGTAGTTGAGTCCCTCCAGGAGGTGAAACCAAGACTAAGGTGATGGCACCATTTCTGGAGCCTCTTCCATCATACCTTGCAGAGCTCAATGTTGTGCTTTCCCCTCCTTGTTCTGCCAAATCCACCTCCTGAGAGAAATACCGTAGAAAGAGCACTGGGTCAGTAATCAGAAGTTCTAGAGTTTTGGTCTCTGCCACCTGCTGGCTTTGGAATGCTGGCCAATTATCCCACTTCCTCTTCTTCTTTTCTTTAAAGATTTGTTTTTATTGAAAAGGCATATTTACAGAGAGAAGGTGAGGCAGAGAGAAAGTTCTTCCATCTACTGGTTTATTCTCCAATGGCTGTAACAGCCAGAGTTGAGCCAATCTGAAGCCAGGAGCCAGGAGCTTCTTCTAGATCTCCTATGTGAGCGCAGGTTCCACCTCTGTTGCTTTCTCAGGCCACAAGTAGGGAGCTGGATGGGAAGTGGAGCAGCTGGAACACAAACCAGTGTCAATATTGGATCCTGGTGTTTATAGGTGGAGGATTAGCCAATTGAGCCAGCTCAGCAAGTGCCCACCACCAAACCCACTTCTTTGAGCCTCAGTTTCCATGCATGGCTGCCTTTCTTGTAGTTTCTCTGATGAGCAGAGCAAGCCCTGGACTTGAAGGACCTGGTGCTGGGCCGCCAGCCTTCAACCCTGCTCTTCTCTCCCTGTGTCCAGCTGACTCAGAGTGACATGCTGCGGGTGGAGCCGGCGCTGCTGCAGTATGCTGACTGGAGGGGACACCTGTTGTAAGTGCTTACTTTGTAGCTTCCCTGGGAATGGACAGAAGTGTCTGGAAACATTTCAGAGTCATCATAATGGCAAAGGGACATGCTGTTGGTGCCTAGTGGTACACACGAGGTGTTGCTGAAGCTTCAATATTGCCCTGAGGGATAGTCTGCCTCCAACCCCAAAGTCAATAGTGGCAGGTTGAGAAAGCCTCATGCTGGGGACCTGGTGGTCACAGGCCCCTTCAGACACCTGCAGGGAACTGGTGTCCCTGCTAGGCCCTTCTAGCTCAGCAGCTGCCAGCTAGGTTTCACGGGCCTGGGTTGGAGGCATGTGGACAGGGGTCAGGGGAGGAGTCCTTGTGCCTACCTCCATTGTAGCTCTGGAGGAGCCAGTTTGGGGCCTTTGCCTGCTAGGGAGCTGGGAAATGGCAACAGGACTCCCAGTATCTGTTCTCACTGAGCACATCCTAAGACCCAGACCCTGTTTATAGGGCTTGGTGGCCCAGCAGGACTCAGTATCAAGACTGGTTCTGAAGTGCACATTCTCAAAATAATTAAGTCAGTGGGTGCTGGAGGCACAGCCATGGGCTCAAGTGTGGACTCAGCCGTTTTGTGGTGGTGGTGGTTCATATTTCTGTTTCTTGGAAAGGCGGAGTGACAGAGAACAGGAAAGGCAGAAAGATTTTCTATCTACTGGTTCACTCCCAAGGGTCACAATGGCCAGAGCTGAGCCGATCTGAAGCCAGGAGCTTCTTCTGGGTCTCCCAAGTGGTTGCAGAGTCCCAAGGTTTTCCCAGGCCACAAACGGAGCTGGATGAGAAGTGGAGCAGCCAGGATATGAACTGGTGCCCATGTTGGATGCTGATGCTTGCAGACAGAGTATTAGTCAGTTTCCCGAACTCTGCCACTTTTTTTTTTAGATTTATTTATTTTTATTGGAAAGTCAGTTATACAGAGAGAGGACAGACAAAGAGGAAAGATCTTCTGTCTGCTCAAGTAGCTACAATGGCCGGGGCTGAGCCAATCCGAAGCCAGAAGCCTGGAGCCTTTTGTGGATCTCCCACACAAGTGCATGGTTGCAAGGCTTTGGGTAGTTCTTGATTGCTTTTCTAGGCCACAGGCAGGGAGCTGGATGGAAAGTGGAGCAGCCGGGATTAGAACAAATGGCATCGGTCTATCAAACCTCAGTTGCTGTGTCTGTGGAATAGGAATAGCAGATGTGTCTGTCACACTCTGTTAAGATTGAGTAAAATTCTCCCAATAGCATCTGTACATGGACGGCTCAGTAAGTGTTCACGTAGGAGCTATGGTAATAGTTGCGACAGTTGTGGTGTTAGAATCACTGCTGGTTCGTCATGCACAAGTGTCACATTTGACATCCCTGAAATCTGATGAGGTGGCGGCTGGGAGTCCTAGAACTGCCGAGCATGATAGTGGTAGCACATGTGTGTATAAGAGGAGGGTGCCTAGGAATGGCGTTGGATCCTCAGTGTGGTCCCCCATGAGGACCCAGGGGAGAGGAATGGCAGCTGCCTGGAGGAACTGTGGAGTGGGATGTGGTTTGGGAACACTCTGGTACACACTGCCTACCTGTCTGTCTCGTCTCCAGCCTCCGGGAGGAAGTGGCCAAGTTCCTGTCTTTCTATTGCAAGAGCCCAGTACCCCTCAAACCAGAGAATGTGAGTAGCCCTCTGCCCTTTCTGCTCTTCTGCCACCCGCCCCCAGCTTCCAGCTTTTGTCTGGCCAAAGATAAGGCAGAGTTAGGGTCTGCCTTTTGCTTGGAGTTTACTGGGAAGCTTTTCTTGACATGAGAGAAAGAGGTAGGCAAGGAGGGAGCCAGCGCTGCCACCCACTTGTTTACTCTCCACTTGCCCAGAGCAGCCAGGGTCAAACTAGCCTGAAGCTGGTACCCTACTACCTAAGTATCATCTGTTGCCTCCTGGGGTGCACATCAGCAGGAAGCTGGCATGGGGAGGGGAGCTGGAGCTGGAGCTCAAGCACTCCATGTGGGATGTGGGCATCTCAGGTCATGTCTGGGCTGCTGCACCAAGCTCCCTGCACACACTAAGGTGGAAGTTGTTTCCAAGCAGAGTGAGGAGTGCCTCCCTCCTCTCCCCCCTGCCCTATCAGCCCTTCATTTTTAGTCTTTGGGTTGTTTCTGCTGATGCTGCACGGTAACCTCGTTGTAGAGCCCTGGGCAGAACTAGCATGGTGACCTGCTCCATGCTTTCTTGCCCAGTTGATCTGGAGCAGAGTCTCATGAATGAACTTGACCATTAGGCGTGGCCTCCAGGTACCTCCCTGGGCTGGTTTGGAATCAGGCCTCCTAGGGCATGGAAGAGGGCTCTGTCTCTACTCCTGTGTTATCCTTGCTCTCTCCTCAGTTGAGTCATCTCTGTCCCATGTGTGTCACCCCCAGGTGGTCGTTCTGAATGGTTGTGCCTCTCTCTTCTCTGCCCTGGCCACGGTGCTGTGTGAAGTCGGGGGTAAGTAGACTCCCTGGTCCACCACGTGCTGGAGGCTGCCCAGCCTCGTGGGCTGTAGTGGGATGGTTTGGACCTTAGAGAATAGCCTAGACCTTGCTTGACTTCAGTGAGTGGCTTCCTTGGGAGTGAAGACACCTAGGGGAGGTCTAACGTGATGTCAGGTTCTGGAATTCCTCTCTGTGACTATCATGGCTTGTCCTTACCGCTCACATGGTGGTTATCGCATCCTTATGTAACAATGTGTCTTAAACCAGGAAGCAAGGGATGAAGTATGGCTGCCTCCTTTTTATCAGGAGGGGAAGTGGAAATTCCTTTTCTTCACGAAGTCCCAGGAGAGCTGCCTACATACTGACTCATAAGTCCACTCCTGGCAAGCAGGACCAGGAAAGCCAAGCTTGGCTTGGGTCCAATGGGGTTGATCTCCCAGGGCCGGGGGGTGAGGTTCACCTTCTTTGCATACAGTCCTGGTCATAGCAATTCTCTTGGTGAGGAAAAAAATTGGAGTGGCTGTGGAGTGGGCAGGCCAAGTGCCTGCTGGAAGAAATGCAGTCAGAGTAGGGACTGGTCAGGACCAGGGTTATCGCATGCAGGGGACATGGGCCCATGATGTTGTTCATGACATCTATTGATCATGTGCTATCTTCTGGACACTGACCTAACACTGATCATGTATCCTCCAACTCTCCTATGAGACAGAGTCTGCAGTTATGCCCATTTCACAGATGAGGAGACCAAGGCAAGGAGGTGAAATACCTTGTGAAACTCACACAAAGAGAGGGAATAACTAGGATCAGAACCATACAAGGAAAGAGCCATTGTAATGACACAATAGGCCAGTCTACCTATTTTAGACCATCAGGAATGGGGATTATCTCCAGAAATATATTTGCTTCCCTGGTCTGTAAAATGAGAATGTTCTTCATGCCTGCTTTGGAGAGTGATGGTCAGGATCCAATAAGATAAAATGAACGACATGGTCAGCCTGGGTCCCTGCTCAGCAAATGGTATCTGTCCATCATCGCAAAGGGACTTATCTCCTGAGTGCAGTCCTTAGAAGAGTTTTGAAAGAGTGGGTACAGGCACCAGATGTTCCCTAAGGATTTTGAAGACTTGGAGAGGCAGTGGGACCAATGGACAGGGGTCTAGGCTATTCCCGCCAGAGCATGACAGGTCCTGTCCACTCCACCCCCAGAGGCATTCCTGATCCCCGCCCCTTACTACGGAGCCATCACCCAGCACGTCTATCTGAGTGGTAACGTCCGACTAGTCTGTGTCTACCTGGACAGTGAGGTAAGAGTCCCCGGACACCTGGGGAGATCCTGGCCACTTCCTGTGTCTAAATCTGAAGGTGGATGGGAGAGGAAGTTAATGCTGAGGCCACTGGGGTTGCAGTGAGCAAGGAATGGAGCCTTCTGTGGCTACACGGCTACCCAGAGGGCCCAGGCTCCAAGTCCTGGATCCCTGTGGTCAGTGTAGAAGCCAAGTCAGTCTCAGACATGGCAGAGCAGGAACAAGCCATAAAGATCTGCACGTGGAAATCCTGGGACACCAAACAGAAATCCCCGTGGCCTCTGCCAGCAGCTTGAGAGTAAGATGGCAGTAAGAGGAGGGAGTAGCCCCACCTGAGTGTTTGGAGAATGTTCCAAAGGGTCTGGAGATTACAGGGGAGGAGAGACTCAATGGCTCAGGTCTAGGGGTTGGTGAATCTTTTTTTTTTTTTTGGAAGGTCAGATATACAGAGGGTGATTCTTTTTAAAAAGATTTATTTGTGAGCCTGGTACAGTAGTCCAGTGGCTAAAGTCCTTGCCTTGCACACACCGGGATCCCATATTAATGCTGGCTTCCTGTCCTGACCACGCCACTTCCCATCCAGCTCTCTGCTTGTGGCCTGGGAAAGCAGTTGAGAATAGCCCAAGGCCTTGGGACCCTGCACTTGTGTAGGAGAGCCGGAGGAGGCTTCTGGCCCCTGGCTTTGGTTTGGCTCAGCTTTGGCTGTTGCAGCCACTTGGAGAGTAAATCAGCAGATGGAAGATCTTCTTCCTCTCTGCATATCTGCTTTTCCAATAAAAATAAATAGATCTTTAATAAATAAATAAAAGATTTATTTGTTTGTTTGAAAGAATTACAGTGAAAGAGGAAGGAAAGGAGAGCAAGGGAAGGGGAGGGAGAGATAGAGTGGGAGATCTTCCATCTGCTGGGCCACTCCCCAGATGGATGCAGTAGCCAGGACTGGGCCAGGCTGAAGCTAGGAGCCAGTCGCTTCTTCTGTCTCCCAGGGGGTGGCAGGGGCCCAAGGACTTGGGTCATCTTCTGCTGTTTTTCTCAGGCCATTAGCAAGGAGCTGGATTAGAAGTGGAACAGTCAGAACTTGAACCGGTACACATATGGGATGCAGTTGTTACAGGCGGTGGCTTTATCCACCATGCTACATTGCTGCATCTGAGCCCTTGTGTTTTGAATGATGGCTTTGGTGGGTCTTTTTCTAGGTCACTGGGCCAGGCACGCGCCCTTTCCAGCTAACAGTGGAGAAGCTAGAGGTGGCCCTCCAAGGAGCCGTTTCTGAGGTCTGGAGGTCAAATCAAGTCCAGGGCTGGGAAGAGGGAAGTGGGTGGATGTGAACAGGGCATGGACCACCTTTCTGTGGAAGTGGAGCTTGTAGGCTCTGGTAGGACAGGTGGAAAGCAGGTAGCAAAGAGCTAAGCTGGGAGTTAGACAGGATTTTCCCAGGGAGGGTCTCTGTATCAGGAAAAGACCCCAAAATGTTGGTGTATGGATGATCTACGAGGGAGCTTCATTCACACTCGCCCTGCCCTCCCAATCTGATTCTGACTTGGTGTACAGGGGCAGAGTGTACCCATAGTTCAATAAGTCCCTAGTACCCTGAGGGGTATGCAGCTCACTCCAAGGGCATCTGAGGGCTCCCCACAGAGACAAAGGCCTGTATGTCGGGGTTCCTCTCCAGCCCATGTTGTAGCCATCTGTCTCCCTCATTGCTTTTCACCTTGCCCGTTAAAGCTATGTGGGCTCATTGCATGAATTTTCATGTGCAATGCCCTACGCACACTTCTCCCACAGAGGCACCCTCCACTGGCGTTGATGCCCCAGGACCTTTGTTTTCTCTGCAATTTTATCACAGTCACAATGCTGCAGATGCACTTCTGTGCCCTTCTGGTTTGCTTCATGGAAGGTCATGCATTTGTCCCCATCACATGCCCACCCCCACTAGTGGAGGCTTGGGGGTGCGCCCCAGTGATGGGCTTGGCCTGAGAGGACCAGGTACCTGAGAGCTCCTGAGAGTCTACTGCCTCCTGCCTGGTTTCAGGGTGTGAAAGTCAAAGGCCTCATCCTCATCAATCCCCAGAACCCGCTGGGTGACGTCTATTCCCCAGCAGAGCTGCGAGAGTACCTGGAGTTTGCTAAGAGGTGAGGTGCCCACACTGTCCCTCCTCCCCTCAATGCCTGCACAAAGCAAGCCTCTGACATGGACTCTGGAAGACCCTGATGCCTTCTTTCTCCCCCTGTGCCCGCCTAACTGCTTGGATCATTCCCTGACAGTGGAGCAGGGAAGGGGGGGTGACTCATGGGCTGTCATTTCTTCTCTGCTCCCCACATGTCTTTAGCTATAATGGCTATCATATGTTGCCTGGCTTGGGGGCCAGGTGCTTTACTAAGCACTTTAGGGGTACTGCATTTTGTGTAACCCTCAAACACCCCCAGTGTTAGGAGTGGAGTGTGGGCCTGTTCATTGGTCAAATTGGGGTGGAATGCGGGCATGTCTGACTTGAGCCCTGGTGGCCCTTGATGGAGGTCTCTGGTGGCGCTGCCTCTCCCCTATAGAGCTTGAAAGACTCTGCTGTCACCTGCTTTGTGTATGTGGACCCCTGTTCGGTTAAAAAAAAAAACCTAGATGAAATGAAAGTGTTTTTGGAGCACCTTGATAACCCTGGGCTAGCCCGTGTTCTCTCTGGATTTTTATGCACTGGCAGCCACCCTTGGTCAGGACACGTTGGTCTATAAATCAAGTTCTCTCCTCTCTGTCACCTGCTGCTGCCAGGCATGAGCTGCACGTGATCATGGATGAGGTCTACATGTTAACCGTGTTTGATGAGGCAGTGGAGTACCGCAGCGTCCTGAGCCTGGAAAGGTGAGGCTCTCCTGACACATAGAACTCTGCCAGCCCCCAGTTCTCTCACAGCGCCCTGGCTTCTCTGACTCAACCCACAGGGCAATGCCTCATCCATCTGGCTGGTCCCACTGGTCCTCAGGTGCCCGAGGGAGGAGGGGGTAAGAAGGAGGAATGGGCTGGATTCACGGTTTTCAGTCATTCCATGGGTCGGCACGCACTGGCCTACCTTGCTGTCTCCCTCAGACCCAGGGTAGCTCCAGTTTAATTCACTCATTTAGTCATTCAGCAGATACTTCTGGAGCCCCATGCGTGTGTCACTCCCAGCTCTTTAAATATTGGGCTCCAGAGAAATCTGTTTCAGGAGGAGAAAGAAGAGAGGGGAGGAGAGAGGCATGAGAGGAGAGACATGAGGAGTGGGGGGGCGGGAAGGGAGAGGGCTCTTCTGATTCACTCCCTAAATGGCCACAACAGCTGGGACTGGGATCGGCCAAAGCCAGGAGTCGGGAACTCCATGCACCTGTCTCAATATCTGAGCTATCTCTTGGTGTCTCCCAGAGTACATATTAGCAGGAAGCTGATGCAAACCCAGCCCACTCTAATAGGACGTCCCAACCAGTCTTGATTACCTGGCCAAACACCCACCCTAAATCTTGGACTTTGTAGTTAAGTGAAGAATTTGTAGCCAAATCACCTTACGAACACTTGGGCCCACCCCCTGTGAAGGCTATGAATGTGACCTTCATAGATTGCAGCAGTTGTCAAGCTTTGTTCAAGACCTCCACACTGCCGAGTCTGCTCCATTAGCTCTCCTGGGGAATCTTACACTTTTCATAGGCTCCCCTGGGTAGTCCTCCTCATTCTCTGTTGGCTCACCCAGGGAGTCCTCCCCCTTCTCTGTTGGCTCACCCAGAGTCCTCTCCATTCTCCATGGACCAGAAATTTAGCAGCCAACTACACAGCTGATCACTTGGTTACAGCAATGATAAGTGGTAGAGTGAAATCTGAGAGAGAATTTCTTGCTTGGGGTATACCGCTGGCCTATCTGCTGGGAGTGGTCAAGGAAGTCTTTTGAGGTTGAGACACTTGAGCTATAAATCAGGAGGCCCCAAAATTTTCCCGTGATGTGCCAGAACATAAGTGTTTTAGATTTATAGGCCGTCTGACCAATGAACATCTCACTCCCTCTGCCGCATGGACAGTACGTGAAGGAATGAGCATAGCTGTGTTCAAATAAAACTTTATTTACAGAAACAAACAGCAGGCTGCTTTTAGCCTGTGGGTTACACCTTGCTAAGCCTGCTCCACAGGATGCCTGGGGATCAGTATTTTCAGAGAGGTACAGCAGAGTCTGGCTCAGGCCTGGGACCAGATGCGTCCATCCATTTCATATGTTCAGGCAAACACATATGAGCCTCCTCCCCATCCTCCCACGCCACTCCCACTTCTGTGTCATGCTTGTTTTTTCCCACTCTGTGCTCTCTGCAGGCTGCCTGACCCCCAGAGGACACATGTGATGTGGGCTACCAGCAAGGTGGGTTCCTGGTTGGCCATGGGAGGGCGTCAGGGAGGCGGGAAGGCAGAGGGGCTGGTGGAGTTGGTCTCCTGCGGGAAGCACTGGCTGGCCCCGAATTATACCATCTGTTCCTCTAGGACTTTGGGATGTCTGGGCTCCGCTTCGGCACGCTCTACACAGAAAACCGTGATGTGGCCACTGCTGTGGCCTCCCTCTGCCGCCATTATTGCCTTAGTGGCATGGTCCAGCACCAAGTGGCACAGCTGCTCCGGGACCACGGTGACTGCCTGGGGCCCAAGACCTTAAAATGAGGGGGGGGGGGGAGGACTGTACTGAGTGTGGGATTATAGATGCTTGTCCCCTGAGAACTCATGGCAGTGATTAAGCACGCCAGCCTTGGGCCCACTCTGGCCACCTCCTGGCTGAGCAGCCCATTGCTCCACACACATCGCCTCCAGCCGGTTTTTTCAGCTGTGAATCAGGGTTCCTAATGACACCTGCCTAATGGTGCCTCCTAATAGTATGATTTGTAGTTAGCTTAGTAAGCACCATACCTGGCCGGTAATGGGGACTTAATTGGTATGACTCATTATTATCTGCAGTGAACAACACTTTAAAAGAGAGCAGGAGCTGTTTAGAAAAGATTGTTATAGTGAAGCCTTTCTCTCTGGATCTATTCTGTTCCGAGGTCCGCATGGTGAGTGTAGATATTTATCTTTGATTGCCACCCTTTATTGAGCCCTACAGATGCTCTTCTTGTACCATCTACTTTGTCCCTATGAGAATCCCAGGCAGCCAGAAGCCCTGTTGTCCACATTGTCTCACAGATAGCCTGACACGAGCCCCAGGGAGTCCACACCCAGTGCCGCTGCCGATATTTAAAAACACGGTGACATCAAGCATTGACAAGGACGCAGCTGGTACTCTCATGGGTTGCTGGTGGAATGTCAGGGGGTTCAGCCACTGTGGAACACAATTCAGCAGTGTCTCAGAAAGCAAAGCCCACACATGCAGAATGACACAGTTAGCCCATCCCTGGATACAATCCGGCTCTGTGCAGTGATGGTTCAGTTGGTGATGGGTGGTTGGTGATCGTATATGATCTGAAAATGTACCCCAGTGATGTTGTAGCCACCCTGGCTTTGTGGAAGTACCCTCTGTGATGTTCACATGACTGTTGAATTGCCCTGTGGCACATTTGCTCAGAACACTTCCTGATCTTTAGACCACACGTGACTGTCTTGGTCTTCAGGGTCCCACACATCTCATGAACGTTTAACAGCTATAATCACAGCCCATTATGGGACTCAACCCAGATGTTCTTCATTAATGATTGAACACGTGGACTGTGGCACATCCACACAGTGGAGCACAGTTCAAACCCTGTGACAGCATGGGCCCTTCTCAGGTCATCTGGCTAAATGCAAGGGAGCTAGTCCTGGAAGATGACGTGCTCTAGGGGTCTACTTCTGGGACCTTCTGGAAAGTAAGACGTAAGGCTGGATCGGTGGTTGGTGAGGAAGTAGTGGAGGGGGTACTTCACACAGCATGAGGGTGCTGTTTGGTAATGTGGGCTGCTCTGAATCCGGACTCTGGTGAGAGTAAGACAAATCTATACATGTTGTACATTCCCAGAACGTCACACAAAGATGCTCAATTATGAGAGGTGTAGCTGCCCTGGGCTTCACTCTATCGGGTGCCATGCTGGGGCCATTCTGGGCCTGAGCTTTGTACTGGCTATGTAATGTAAAAACATAATTTTTAAAATGTATTCATTTGGGGTTTGTACTATGGCATAGTAGGCTAAACCTCCGTCTGTGGTGCTAGCATCCCATATAGGCACAAGTTCAAGCCCCAGCTGTCCCACTTCCCATTAAGCTACCTGTTTATGGCCTGGAAAAGCATGGGAGACCCAGAGGAAGCTCCTGGCTCCTGGCTTTCCATGGGCTCAGCTCTGGCCTTTATGGCCAGTTGTGGGAGTGAACCAGTGAATAGAAGATCTCTGTATCTCCTTCTCTCTGTAATTCTTTCAAATAGAAATAAAATATGCCTGTTAAAAATGTGTTTATTTATTTGGAAAGCAGAGAAGAGACAGAATTGCACAGAGAAAAATTGTCTGTCTGCTCGTTCACTCCCCAGAGGCTTGCAACAGCTGGGTCTGGGCCAGGCAGAAGGCAGGCGCCGGGGGCTCCCTCATGGGTGACAGAGACGCAGGTACTGGCGCCATCGCCTGCTCCCTCTCCACCCCCTGGGACAGGCATTCACAGACATCGGGGGTGGAGCCAGAGCTTGGACCCAGCCACTCTGATGCTGGTCATGGGTCTCCCAGGTGGTTTCCTAGCCACACTGCCACCTGCCTGTTCCCTAGAGCACCACTTTCTAACTGAGCAGGCCCTTGCTTTGCTTCTGTCCTGAGAAACTTGGCACTCTGAGCTACAGCATGGACAGCATGGAAGCAGGACCTGGAGCTGCCAGGGCTGAGTCTCAGGATTTACAATCTTTTTTTTTTTAAGATTTATTTTATTTTTATTGGAAAGGCGGATATACAGAGAGGAGAGACAGAGAGGAAGATCTTCCCTCCGATGATTCACTCCCCAAGTGAGCACAACGGCCGATGCTATGCCAATCCGAAGCCAGGAGCCACTTCTGGGTCTCCCACACGGGTGCAGGGTCCCAAAGCTTTGGGCCATCTCGACTGTCTTCCCAGGCCACAGGCAGGGAGCTGAATGGGAAGCGGGGCTGCCGGGATTAGAACTGGCACCCATATGAGATCCCGGGCGTGCAAGGCGAGGACCTTAACCACTGCACCATCGCGCCTGGCCCGATTTATGGTCTTGATCTCACCTGCCAGCACGCCATCTCAGTGGGTACCTGGTAGCATTTTTCTTTCTGTCCTATAAGCAAGGTAGAGTGGAGGATTGCTAGAACATTGATCTTTGACCTCCCTTTCACCCTAAACAGACTGGATCAGCCAAGTATATGTGCCAGAAAACCATGCCCGGCTCAAGGCTGCCCATGCCTACATCTCTGACGAGCTCCGTGCTCTGGGGGTCCCTTTTCTGAATCGTGGGGCCGGCCTCTTCATCTGGATCAACTTGCAGAAGGTAGGAGAGGTGGCTCCAGCATCCTTCCAGGAGGGGAGGGGCTCAGCTGTACTCAGAGCCTCTCTTGTGTGCTCCTAGTACCTGCCGCAGGTCACCTTCGAAGAAGAAAGGTTGCTGGGTCGCTGCTTTTTGGACAACAAGGTGCTGCTGTCCCCTGGTAAGGCTTTCCAGTGTAAAGAGCCAGGCTGGTTCCGCATGGTCTTCTCCGACAAGGCCCACCGGCTCCGTCTGGGTAAGGCAGCCCACCTTCCCTACCACAGCATCCTACTGCCTCTTCATCCTGTCCCTACTGCTTGTCTGGCCCCAGTGGCTTCAGCCATCCATCCTGACTGGTCCCTGCCTCCCCTCTAGGGATGCAGAGGGTCCGGCAGGTGCTTGAAGGCAGATCCCAAGTGGCAGAAGACCCATCTCCAGCCCCATCCCCGCCACCTCCATCCTGGACCGAGGAGCCCAGAGACCAGCACAGGTGACCTGGTCCCTGCCTCCTAAGCAGCCACTGCATCTGACCCAGGACCTGGTGTGGCTGCAGGCAACTGGCTTCCCAGGAAGTTGTTCAGCTCAGTTTTACCTGTGAGGAAGAACTCTTTTCTTGCCTTTTTCAATAGCAGTGGGAGACTCTTTCAGCCAAGATTCAAATTTAGCTGCCCTTGTCTTCTACTAATCCACATGGTGATGAACTTGATGTACCTGCTGTGGGTCATTCACAGGTTGAGGGAGTCCTGCCTGTTCTCAGCCACAGCCCTCAGTCTCCAGGGAGCCTAGCAAAGAAAATACAACTGACCTAGACCTTGTTTTTCCTGGTGACTTTATGTGTGGTGCTTGGTTGCTGGGAAACCAACCAGAGAAACAGCACCTCTGAGAGCGAGCATGTCCAGAACATTTTTAAAAAGTGGTACTTCCCCAACAACAAGGAGGATGGAATTAATCCTGTTAACTCCCATCAGGGGAACAGGGGAACAGGGACTCTGGGGGAAGGGGAAATGACATGTCCCCTCCAGCACCTGTCTCCAGGACCCTCTTCCCCTCCTGCCTGGGAAGGAGCCTCCCTCACTGGGGTCCCCAAAGCCGAGTGACCTAGCGATGACTATGGGGAGAGAATTTGGGACTGGAACAGAGGCTTCTGTGGGCCAGGCTGATGGGGACTGGCCTGCCACGCTGAGTGCAAAGGGCCGCCTATTCCATCTGCGGACGCGCATCAGCTCAGAGCCTAAACGAGCTTTCATCTAGCCTACAGCTCCTGCTTAGGAGAGTGGGAGCTTTCCTGGTTCCTCCTTTAAGAAAATCAGTGCAATCAATTCTTCCATTCTATGAACCGGACTGTTTGGTTGAAATTTGTTCTCCTTTTTCAGAGTGCCATTCATTCATTCATTCATTCATTCTCCCCTCCCCCATATTCTGTCGCATGCTTTCTGTGTGCTAGACCCTGTGCTGGGTAATTTATTTACAGGTGGGAACCTGAGTCTCAAAGAGATGGCATGATGCCATCTATGATGGCCACGCAAAAGCATCTCAGAACCAGGATTCAAAGTCAGCTGTTCTTGCCACACTCCCCACAGCAGCTCCAGCAGCCTCCCGCTCCCTCCAGTCCTGAGAACCAGCTCTGCGTTGTCCCACCATAATCTGCCATCTCATACATATTCATTTTGTTTGAAAGAGAGACGGAGATATTCCATCCCCTGGATTATTCCCCAAAATGCTCACAGCAGCCAGGGCTGGGCCAGGCTGACTCAGGAGCCTAGAGCTCAAGTCTGGTCTCCTCCGTGGGTGGCAGGGGTCCACGTACTTGAGCTGCCTCCCAGGGTGTATAGCAGCAGGAAGCTGGAATCAGACGTGAACCCACGCACTCAACTGATGTGAGTATCCAAAGTGTTAGCTTAACCACTGTACCAAGTGCCCACTCGACCTTTAGTTATTTTGAATGTCATTGGTTATAGGGAACACTACCTTTCTATTCCCGATTGTGAAAAATGCCGGTGTCAGGATTGGTTGTGTTGCAATGGGTTAAGTCTGCACCCTGTTACTCCAAGCCCATGTGAACATTGATTTGAGTCCCGCCTGCTCTGCTTCTGATCCAACTCCCTACTAATATGCCTGAGAGAGAAGCAGAGGATGGCACAAGTGTTTAGGCTGCGTGTGGGAAACCCTGAAGGAGGTCCCGAGCTGCTGGCTTTAGCCTAGCCCAACCTTGGCTGTTATGGCCATTTGGGGAATGATCCAGTGGGTGGAACCTCAACTCTCCCTCTCTAACTCTGCATTGCAGATAATAAATAATTTTTTAAAAAGATTTATTTGTTTTAATTTAAAGAATAATAGAGGGGGAATGGAGAGAGAGAGAGAAAGAAAGAGAAAGAAACCAAGATAGATCTTCCATCCACTCATTTACTCCTCAAATGGCTGCTATGGCCAGAGCTGAGTTGGTCCAAAGCTAGGAGCCAGGAGCTTTTCTCCGTCTTTTACATATATTTTAAGGACCAAGAACTTGGGCCATCCTCTGCTCTTTTCCAAGGAGCAGGAACATTAGCAGGGAGCTGGACCAGAAGTGGAGCAGCCAGGACAAAAACAGGTACCTATATGGGATGCTGGGCCCAACACAGAGGATTTTCTGTGTCACCAGGCTGGCCTCAAACATATAAATCCTTTTTTTAAAATTTAAGATGTATTTGTTTTTATTGGAAAGGCAAATCTATGGAGAGGACAAAGATCTGCCATCTGCTGGTTCATTCCCCAAGTGCCCACAGTGGCTGTAGCTGAGCCAATCTGAAGGTAGGAGCCAGGAACCTATTCTGGGTCTCCCCACACAAGTGCATGCTCCCAAGGCTTTGGGTGGTTCTTGACTACTTTCCCAGGCCACAATCAGGGAGCTGGATGGGAAATGAAACAGCTGGGACATAAACTGGCACCCATGTGGGATTCTGGCGCATGCAAGGTGAGTATTTAACCACTAGTCTACCATGCTGGGCCCAACAAATAAGACTTAAAAAGAAAACAAACCCAGGAAATGCACTCCCAGTTTATATAAGTTAACCTAGGACAAACTCACCCTCCCTCTAACTCCTGAACCAAGGTTCCATTTATGAAGTTCATGTGCCCCATGGAAATAGCAACAGAGATAGAGAGTTCAACGGAGATGGAGATTTCAACAGGCACTCAGGAGAAAGCAGTGGCATTTGCAATGGCTTGAAAGCAAATAGTAGAGCCGTCTGTGCATGCACAGTGTTGCAAGGCCAAGGCATGTGCAAGGTGAACTCTTGGAGAGGTTGTCCACAGGGAGCAGGCTGGGGTCTGGAGGAATGTGTGTGCCATATTAAGGAGTTATCTGAACAGATGTCCCATCTAATCTAGTGTTTCTTTCCACAGTTTTGGTAACCCACAGTCAACTGTGGTTTAAAAATGTCAAGGTGGGACCCAGCGTGATAACCTAGTGGCTAAATTTTCACCTTGCTTGCACCGGGATTCCACATGGGCACCTATTCACATCCTGGCTGCTCCACTTCCTTTCCAGCTCCCTGCTTCTGACCTGAGAAAGCAGTAGAGAATGGCCCAAAGCCTTGGGACTCTGCATCTACATGGGAGACCCAGAAGAAGCTCCTGGCTCCTGGTTTTGAATCAGCATGGCTCTACTGTTGTGGCTACTTGGGGAGTGAATCAGCAGATGGAAGATCTTTCTGTTTGTCTCTCCTCCTCTCTGTATATCTGCCTTTCCAATAAAAATAAGTAAATCATTTTTTTAAAAAGTCAAGGTGGCAGGGTTAGGGAGGGCACTGTGGCATAGTAGGCTAAGCCTCAGCCGGTGGTGCTGGCATACCATATAGACGTTGGTTCAAGTCCTGGCTGCTCCACTTCTAATCCAGCTCCCTGATAATATACCTGGGAAAGCAGCAGAAGAAGATCCAAGTGCTTGAGCTCCTGCACCCACACAGAAGAACTGGATGGATCTCCTGGCTCCTGGCAGACCAGCCCAGCTCCAGCCACTGTGGCCATTTGCGGAGTGAACTAGTGGATTGAAGATCTCTCTCTCTCTCCCCTTCCCCATGTCTTGCCTCTCTTTGCAACTCTGCCTTTCAAAGAAAAATGAATGGTTTTTTTTTTGAAAGAAAATATCAAATGTAATGTAAAACTAAAGAAATAAGCAATCCATACATTTTAACCAACTTTTATTACAAGAAGTCCTTCTGTTCTCCTACTATGCCAATTTTGTGTTTTAAGCTGTATCACAGGTATAGAAATATAAGAGAAAAGTGGAATTGTGCAGCTTGCTACTGTCTGTGATTCTAGGCTCCTGCCAGACATCTTGGGGCATGTACTGTGTGGTATAGGGACGCTGCTGCAGGGGAGTGGGAGTGTCAGCAGGTCTGAAGCAGGAATGTGGATTGCCTGTCCTCTCCAGCTGCACTTCCTGCTGAGAGCAGAGGGGTTGGCTGGGGCAAGACGTAACCTGGGGCCCAGGGGTCTTGCTCATCTGAACCCCAAAGGGGCTTTCAGCAAGGTTTGTAGGCCCAGCAGGGACCAGGGCTAGGGAAGCTTGCTTTTGCTTCTTAAGGCTCAACAAGCTCGGATGTTTGATAATGTACATGCTTTGTTCGTGTCCATGGGGGTTGCTTCCAGGTCCCTGTGGGTAGCAGGATCTGTGGGTGCTCTCTGTTACATAAAAGGGTGTAGTATTCGCATGTAATCCACACACATCCTCGGGTACACTTATGTGAAAGAAAGACACACACAGAGGGAGTAGGAGAGGGAGGGAGGGAGATAAGAAAGAGTTCTTCTAACCACTGATCTACTTAACTGCCTACAACAGTCAAGGCTGGGTCAGCTCAAGCCAACATCCAGGAACTCTGGGGATCGCACAGCGATGGCAGAGACCCGCTGAGCTGTCACTGCTGCTCCCCAGGGTGTGCACGGACAGGAAGCCGACATCGAGTGTAGACCGAGGGCTGGAACTCAGGCACTCTGACATGGAAGGCAGGTGTCCCAAGTGATGGCTTAGCTGCTGTGCCAAACACCTACCCTTCATATACTTTAAGTCATCTCTAGATTGCTTATAATGCTCAATATGATGTAGTGCTTTGTAAACAATTATCATGTTGTATGGTGCAGGGTAGTGTTTAGAAAGTTATTGTTAAAAATAATCGTGTCTGAGGACTGGCTGAAATCATTCTAGATCTTTCGAACTAGACACAACCTTTTCATCTTTTGAACCCTAACACTTGTTTATATAAGCCACATTTCATACTCTACCTTCAGTAGTGTTACTTGTGTATTTGTTTGATTCCTCTGTGCTCATTAAGAAAAAAAGATTCATTATTTGAAAGAAAGAGAGAATCTTCCATCCTGCAGTAGCCAAGGCTGAGCCAGGAGCCTCTGCTGGGACTCCCGTGTGAGTGGCAGGGGCCCAATCACCTGGCCATTTCCATTGTTTTTCCTAGGCTATTAGTGGGCAGCTGATCAGCAGTGGAACAGCTGGGATATGAACCAGTACCTCTACAGGATGCTGGCATTGCAGGCAGCAGCTTGATGTGCTATGCCACAATGATATCCCTGAGCTCCTTTTATCAATTCTACAAATAGTTATTGAGTATTTGCTATCGGTTGGGCATGCTGCAAGTGTAAGGTCATAAAAAGTGAGTAAGGTAGTTTTCTGCATAGATCTGGCTTGGTAAAACTCTTTAACACAGAGAGTCCTCATTAATGAAAAAATAATGATTAATTAAAACATGTTTTTAAAAAATCTATCCCAGCTGTGGGCTACAGCTTAGGTTATGTTGTACCTAGGCAAGGTTACACTGCTGTGAGAAAAGCAGCTAATAGCTGGCAGGCATCCTGGGCCAGGTTAATGCCAAATCTGTGTTAACCATACCAGTGTGCCAGTATGGTTGTCTAGCCTTTTAATTTTATTTTTCTAAAGATATGTGTGCATGTCGGGTCCATGAGTCCTGGGGATGGAGCGTTCTGGCAGGGTCCAGGTCTCCTGGCCTGGGTCCTTAGGCCCATCTGCACAGTAGATTCCAGGTCCATGAGCCCTGGGGGGCAGGGAGTAGGTCTATTGGGCCAGGGCGCCATTGACGCCAAGTGAATCCCACTGGCTGCCTGGTAGCACAGTTATGGGGGCTTGGTGTGTGAGCTTGCAGGGGGTCTGGATGGTGGCACAGGTAGGGGGTATGGGGACACGAGGGCTCATCTCCAGGATTGGTGGTCTGACAAAGTGCATGTGTCAGAACTGGCCCTCCTTGGGAGAAAAACACGGAGCAGTGGACGGCAGGCCCTGATGCACATGGAGGCTATGGCAGCCCATTGGTGCCCACAGAGGACATCTGGTACCATAACAGGACGGAGGACAAAACATCAAATATCTGGGGAAACGGAGACTTTCAGGTCAACTATGTCAGCCAATGGGGATTGGAAGAAATTCCTCATCCTTGGATCAGCGAGATCGACAGCATTTCAGAACTATCAAAGCCACCTGAGCAGAACCCTCGGGACATACTCCACATTGGTGACCCTGGGATGACATAGGATGGTCCTTCCCCATCCCTGGGGTACTCGGGTACTGGGGTGACTGGGGAGCTGGGTGTGGCATCTCCTCTTTTCTCCCGCCCCTTTCCTTCAGATACAGAAAGAACATCATCAAAAATAAAATTTAAAAAACTCATACGAAGAAGGAAAAAAAAAAAAAAGAGGGTAAAGCT